GCAAGGTGGTGGCAAGCCGTTAACCCACCTGTCACATCGCTACAGTGTGCCCGTTAAGTGCAACCGTAAGATTCCCAAGGTGGCGAAGGTGCCACGACCGAGTCAAGTGCTCGCGTGACCTCACCACGTGGTAGTCGCACGATGAATTGGCAGTCTGATGTCCCCATTGACTGCCATTGCAATGTTATCGCCGAATATAGAACGAGCCCAATCATCCTAGTGTAAGAATATTTCATTCAGGCGTGCCACCACTCAGAGCGTTACGCGCCGACTACCCCATGGCTATGCCATGCTGACAAAACAGTCTACCAACTTGGTTGGCTTGATTGTTAAATCAATGGCGAAGTGGACAAGAACTACTGGTAGTCCATGTCATGGTTGCCGACTTCACAATTGTCATATTATGTCATATTATGCCATTCACCCAAATCTGGACTTTTGAGTCAATTAGCCAATCGCATTTGACCTTACTAGTATTTATTCTTGTTAATCTTGTACTGTACTAACTAACAGGTAATAATACTGAACTGATTCAGTAAGTTCAGTTGGGCAATACATAAACGAAAAATAGTAACAGAAATTCACCAGAACATGATTTGATTGGCTTAGTCGGTTCATTAATTCAATCTTCCATTCTCTAGCAATTTCTAAACGGTCCGGACAGTGCAAATATAGCAACCGTAAAAACGAAGTTTGACTTTACACCTACAGTACTGTACTACTGTAGGTATCAATAACGTTAGGTTGGAAATTTACTGTTGGAGATGCTCTCTGCTGGAGGCTTCAGTTTCCAATTGATTTGACAATAACAAAGTGTACTCCGGAGTACGAATTCACAGTCGATTAGCGGTGTTAAGCCGACACACTTCTACCTTGGCATCACAGGTGCATTGATACTTGAATGTAGGTGTTCATGTACCTGAATGTAGGTGTTAATACTGTACTAGTATACTGTATGTGTGTGGCCGATCTGAATGAGGTAACCGACAGCTGTTTCGAAATTCGACGAGCGTTTCATCGTCGAAGTAGCCACGTTTTGGCACACTCGCAACGCATTGGCCGTCGTACCGTCGCTCTTGGGGCTTAAAGTAGTTTGCATTTCTCAACTAACCCGTCGCCATGTTCGCCAACCAGCTAGAAACCACAATGTCAGCCATGGAACCATCGGAACCCGTCACAACTCCATTGCACCTTGCGATGCGTCAATTCGACCTAGCGCGCGACGCCGCCGCCAAGGCGATGGACACAATGGCATCTACCGTCGTCGAGTTGGCATCTTTAACGTCTCCTGCGGCTGTCACTAACGAAACCTTGCCATCGACGCACTCTCAGGATACAAATGACGTCGACGCGGCGGGTGAAGCAACGACAGAGGCGGCAAACAAGGCGAAAGTTTTGGACGAGTTTGTGGCGTACCTGACCACCGTCCTAGAGATCAAAAACCCCACGAGACTCGCATCGCTGGCTCAAGCGTTTGTGTGGAACCGGGACGACGCGTTGGTGGACGATTTTGTAGCCGAAGGGTTCAACATCGTCCTGTACGCCAAACGTGCGAACTCCCCGCCAGTGGTATGCTCGCCACTTGTGGCGAAGAAGCCCGTGTTGCCTCCTACGAACGACACGGTGACGTTCAACGATAAACTACGACAGCGGTCGGGGTCGATCAACGATCTCACTGTGCGGCAGATTCGGATCCTGCAAGGAGAGCTGGAGAAAGAAGCCAAAGCCCGAGAAGAGTCACCGGTGACGCACCTTCGACGTACGACGGTGACGCCCAGCCCCAGTCACTTGTCCTTGGAATTGCTCGATAAAGACTTGGCCCTTTACTCGCTCGAAGGCAACCACGATGACGACGAGGCAGGCCCGAGCAAGAAGAGAAGGGTCACACCCGAGCCCGATAATACATTCGTTGAACAATACTAGTATGTACGAGTCGTGCCCATGTTGCTAGCAGACATCTATGGGTGATTCATGAGTCCCGAAAATTACTTGCTAACAGTGTAAATCGATCTAAACGAATTCAACGTTTGCAGAAGTTTTCTAATTACTCAGTACTCGAAATTTCTCACATCAGTACTGGAAAGTGCATGCATTCATTTTGGCACACTATCGTAAGTACGAAATGGATGTGATATGATCTCAGTATGGATTGTCAAGATGGTAGGCTAAGTGCGAGTTTTGCTCCATGGGGTTTTTGGGAGAGGTGCATGGGGGTGTATGAACTCTACGACCATGAAACCTAACAAGACATCAAGCATCCAACTAAGACGATGATGGCTGACGACCATTCAAAGCCAGTCTACTGGGACCACTTCGCCGCGGCCGAGCCAGAAGAGGAAGAGTGGTCCGTGGAGACGCGGATGCTGCAGCGAAGGACCTGCCCACTGGACGATGAGCAGTTCGATACGTTTGAAGTAAAGCCACGATCTAACTTGGAGCGGCTGCAATTTTGGAGGCATTGGACCGACAACGACGAAGATCATGAGCTTGTGTTCAAGCAAGTGCCGTATCAATACACGGAGCTGTTCGAGTCAGTTTCGACCGCCAAGCCCCCTCGATCTCATTTGGGTAGTCTGCAATACTGGGACGACCGCAACGTCGGTGGAGCCGACAACGACATTGAAGCCATCTCCAGCAACAACTTCGAGCGCCAAGCTCTGGTTGACCAGCCGCCAACCCCCCCACATGCCTCGAAGGTGGGAGGAGGGTTGTACAATTCGTTCGAGGGGCGGCAGAAGTCGCACTTGGCGCGGCTGCGACAGTGGCGTTCCAGTACAGACGCCAACCAAGACGATCAACTCGAACGCAGGACACTCCTTCCTACCAACAACTCATATTTGTCGTCACCAATGAAACCCGTGGGCGAATGCAGTTCGTGGGAGCAGCCTCGCGCCGAGTGGAACTGGATGGGTCTAGCCCTGCTCGTCACGAGTGTCAGCGCCGTGTCGTCGGTGGACGTGGCCTTCCAAGTCGGTTCTTCGGCGGAGGTGGCACCAATGCTGAGGCTGTTTTGGCGCGTGAGCGGCAGCTGCGTGCTCACTTTCGTGTTCACGGTGGTCTCGGTGGCGCGGTATGGCTGGCCCCGCGTTCAAGACCCGTTCGACACTGCCATTCGCGTCGTGCTCTGTGCCTTGGGGTTCACGTTGTGGCACAGTTGCTCATATGTGGCCACCACGCGATCGTCGTTTAGTCATGCAAACGTTCTCCATAATGCCCACGGACTCATGCTTGTGGCGGGGAAAATTCTCACGGAGCAACAAGTGGGTCGGTGGGAAGGCGTGGGCGCGATCGTGGGGTTCACTGGCACTGTGATTGCCGCCGCTGCCGACAGTACACCCATCACATGGGCGTCGCTTTGGTCCGCGGCACATGGAACGACGTGGCATGACGGCATGGTGGGGCTGACGGGGGCAGCCGGTGCCATGTTGTACTTGGTCCAAGCCAAAAGAATCCAGTCCCGCCTGAACTTTATGGTGTTCATGTGGTGCCACTCTGTAGCCGTGTGCTTGATTCTCCTGCCCACGATGATTGCCAAGGGCGAGACCTTTGAGTTCTCTGCGCACCCGACCGTGGGATTGCTGGGATGGGCCACATCGACACGATGGCTGTTGGAACTGTTTCTAGTCGGAGTGTGCGACTTTGTAGGCGCCATGGGCTACCTCCGCGTGTTGCAGTACTTTGAACCGATTGTCGTGTCCACCACAATGCTCCTGGAACCGACGTTGGCGTCCCTACTCGAAGCGACTGTCAGTGGCCCCTTGCCCAGTGCACATGCGATGGTGGGAAGTCTGGTTGTCGCTGCGGGCGTCGTACTCGTGTACATCACCAACACCAACCAGCCACTCTCTCAGCCCCGTCGCCATTCCCCGCAGATCACTCGCTCCAACGAGTTCATGCCTCGGAAGCCTCTTAATTACGGCACCATTGTCGTGTAATTTATTCTTGTAGCGGTAGGAAGTCCTTTGTCTTGGCTTGCTGGGCGGGGCAAGCAATTATGCATGAAATATTCATACTTTTCACATGATTTCACTGTCAACTCAAACTTACCAACATTCTGAAAACCTCAAACTTGGGCTAAATTATCCGGAACCAAATTGGACTTGCTGCTGATCCTATTATTGTATTATTGTCGGCAGTCGGCAGCGTTGAGGCCACTTTAGCTGCCCCATGACCTGTGAAGGGAAGAAGTCGAAACTGCATCAATGTTGCATTAGTGTAATGGTGGATGTCCTATGCAACGCGCCACTTTTCGAGCTCATCCAAGCATTCAACGAAGGCACTGCACTCAAGTCATGGACAGCAGGGGAGATTGCCGCCGAGCTCGGGTACCTCTACGTCCTGCAGCATGCACCACACGTTCGGTTCGGCGGACGTACGAGCGAGGATGTGTACCCGAGAGCGAAGGCGATGGATTTTGCGGCAAAAGGTGGACACATCGTGGTTGTCGACTGGATGAATTCAAATCCCAGGTATCGTTCAGAGTGTACAACCAATGCCATAGACTGGGCATCGTCCGCCGGCCATCTCGACATCGTGCAATGGCTCGATGCGAATCGGTCCGAGGGATGCACGAGCGCGGCACTTCACGGCGCGGCCGTCTCTGGTCACGTCGACCTCATGTCGTGGCTACTCGATCATCGCAGTGACGATGTCGAGTTCTCCATGGGTACATTCTACGACGCAGCTGAACACGGTCAGCTCCGTGTTGTCCAGTGGTTTGTTTCTCACGGGTATTACCAACGTCCGGACGGTTTGAATGCCGAGTACCCGTTAGACGGGGCAGCAAAGAACAACCACATGGCTACGGTGGAATGGCTGCATGCGCAAGGCGACGACGCGTCCCGGGGGGCGATGGATCTTGCGGCCGAAAATGGCCATTTGGCCATGGTGCAATGGCTCCACGCCCATCGACGCGAAGGGTGTTCGATTGACGCGATGAACTGGGCTGCCAACTGCGGCCACCTAGACGTTATCCAATGGCTCCACGCGCACCGCACCGAAGGCTGCACGACCAACGCCGTGGATTTCGCAGCCGAAAACGGTTTCTTGACCACAGTCCAGTGGCTACTGCACCACCGGACGGAAGGGTGCACGACCCAGGCGATGGATTTGGCAGCGAAGAACAATCACATGGACGTCGTGCAGTGGCTGCATCATCATGGCCCCGTGGGCTGTACGACCGCCGCCATGGACGGCGCGGCCAAGGGCGGGCATGTCGGCATGTTGCAGTGGCTACACACGCATCGGCATGAAGGATGCTCGACCAACGCCATGGACTTTGCTGCAAAAAAGGGTCATCTGGACGTCCTCGAGTGGCTCCACGCGCATGTACCGGCGGCGGGATGTACCACAGACGCCATGGACTTTGCGGCCCAGTACAATCGACTGGAAGCGCTGCAATGGCTGCACCAACACCGACAGGAGGGGTGCACCGCGGACGCAATGACGTTTGCGGCGGAATATGGACATTTGAGAATTGTGAAGTGGCTACACGACCACCGTCCCGAAGGCTGCACGGTGGACGCGATGGATTGGAGTGCAAAAAATGGCCATCTGGACGTCGTGGAGTGGCTGCATCTGAATCGAACGGAGGGCTGCTCGCCCGACGTGGTGGACACGGTCCTTCGAGCCGGGCAACTGCCTGTGCTGCAATGGTGGTATGCCCATCGCCCTGAGCGAAGCACGTCGAACGCGATGGCGATTGCCGCTGAAAATGGCCATCTGGACATGGTGCAATGGCTGCACAACGTCGGGGAAACTTGTACGACCAAGGCCATGGATTTGGCAGCAGAAAATGGCCATCTCGATGTCATCGAGTGGCTGCACGTCCATCGCGACGAAGGATGCTCCCGGGAAGCCATGGATTTGGCCGCTGAAAATGGACATGTGCATGTTCTGCAATGGCTTCAGGACCATCGAACGGAGGGATGCACGCGGGAGGCACTGGAGTTGGCGATAGCGGAAGGCCAGGTCAAAGCTGCCCGATGGCTCGTCACGCATCAACCTAGCAAGGCCAGTGTGGCTAAATGTATGGCATTTGCTAAGATGTATGGATTCGAGGACCTTCGCGATTGGTGCGTCAAGGTGAAGGGGCAGCGCAAACCATTGAACTCTCGATAACGTTAAGTAAAGATGTGCCCTCGTACTATTTGTTAAACAAGTTCAGTTATCTCTCTATCGCTCGCAAACAATAACAGTAGACGCCACATCCACTACAGACTGTACCACGACTCACGAAACAAGTGTGTTTCGTACGAATGACCCCAAACTGGACAAGCGGCGCGTTGTGACTCGGTGGTGGCACTTCCTGGGACAGGTCACATGGTTTACCATGTCCCAGCGATAACCTATGTATCAACGCAAGGTTGTATCCATGGAATTTCCTGTAGACGTCAACTGGGGCCACGCCACCTGCTTTGTACTCAACCTCACTTCGCCATGACCAGATGCAAACCTTAGGTACTACTAGTACGATGCAGTACCTCCAGTAGCCCGCAGAGCTGGCTACCGTACGCTGAAGCCACGTGAAGGATACGTGGCAGAACCACGGCGGCCTGCTCATCCATGTCTAGTAATCCGAGAGGCACTCGTGATTGGTGAAAACAAAATTGAAGTTTCAACTTCAATGGGAATCCGGATAGTATCCGTACCCTCACCCAAGGATTAAATATAGATGAAACCAATGACAGAAAGAGGTACTGGGAGTGTTGGTCGTAGCAGTGGATACAGTGGGAGGATCGACCCTGTTCAATGACAGAAAGGGAACCAATCATCATCCCTACCCCTACCACGTCAGCTCTATGAGCATACAAACATCGAGTCTAATTGTTTTAACATCCGTGGAAAAGTTGGACCCACACCTCGGAATGGAGCTCAGTTTTGAATTTTCCTGGTCCAGGTAAGAGCACCATCGTCATGCGTTCCATGCAGTTGCGCCATCTCATGCGTGGTGACGTCCCGTCGTAGAGAACAGTTCACCATGACCACTGCCGTCAAGAAGTATCGCTACATTCGCTCGGATTTTGAGCCCCTCGAAACCAAGCCCGTCCACTTCGACATGGTCTTTGACGTGTCTGAGAAGGAAGTACGAAAGATTCTCTCCTGCGTTTTGCAATGTCTCGAATCTTTGCTCATGATTCTCTAGGTTCGTGTGACCCTTCAAACGACTTTGAAGTACGTTGGCGCTGCCCCTAAGTCCGTGTTGAAGCTCAACTCGAAGGCGTTGGAAATTGTCAGCGTCGAACGCCTGCACAACTTCACACCTTTGAACGGATCCCGCAACTTTGTGTCGCATGTTGCCAGCTTTGGCGCCCCCAAGCCCCTGGAATATGTCGTCGACACCGTGGACCATTTTTTGGTGATCACGTTGGATACCCCTGTGCAATCGGGCGACGAATTCGTCGTCCGCACTGTGTCGATTGCCCGCCCTACCGAAAACATCTTGGAGGGTTTGTACTATGACTACACTCCTGAAGGCGCTCCTCGCACCATCATCACACAATGCCAGCAATACGGGTTCCAACGCATCGTGCCGTGCATTGACACGATGGACGCCAAGGCGTTTTACACGACGACCATCGTGGCCGACAAAAATTACACGAACATCATCACCAACGGAGATTTGGCGCCTGGTTTCAGCACCCCCGAAGGCACCCCCATCTACCACGATGCTTCGGAGTTTTTGGCGACGGCAGATTCGACTCGCCATGCGCTCAAGTACTACAACCACACGATTAACATGGCGCCGTATTTGTTTTTCTTGGGCGTCGGCACGTACGTGACGTACCGTCGCACTTTGGAATTCCCCGACGGCGACACGACGTTGCTAGAACTGTTGGCTTTCCCCGGCTTTGCCGAGCCCGCGGACGCCAAGCTGTCTGTGCAAATGCTGCACGACTCGATCTTGTGGACCAACGTGAGCTTGGGCCCTGAGTCTACCGACCACCACGACGAGCGCGTGGCCATCTACGCGTTGCTCGAAGAACGCGAAGCGATCAAGGCCAAGTCTGCGCCTTTGACCGTTGGCAGCGAGGAAGTCGTCCAACCGACGCCTTTGTCTGCCACTGACGCCGCTCGTTTGGCGGCTGTCCGCGCCGAATTGAAGACGCTCATTGGCAAGTGGACCAAGACGGGGTACAAGTACACTGGGCAAATCTACCGCGAAATCGGCATGGAAAACTCCAACTACGGCGGCATGGAGAACGTGGGCAACACGACAATCGTGAGCTCATGCCTGTGCCCTACGTGCCGCATGGGCGACCACGGGTACGAGTACATGGAGCGCGTCAAGGTGCACGAGTACTACCACAACATCAACGGCAGCGAAGTGACGGGCCAATCGCCGTTTGAAATCTGGCTCAACGAAGCCGTGACAGTGCACATGGAACGCAAGCGCCACGCGGCCATTTTCGGCCAAGAGTATCATCGTCTCGGGGATGTCGTGCGCATGTTCACGCCCACGATCGGTCCCATCGCCCTCGACAAGGCCGCCACGTGCCTCAGCGTGGAACCCGAAGGATTCAACCAAACCCAGGAACTTGTGTCTGCCGTCACCTACTCCAAGGCGCCAGAGATCGTCCGCATGGTGGAGTTGCTGTTGGGCTTCAAGAAGTTCAACGTCGCGTTGGACAAGTACTACACCAAGTACTTGTATGGCAACGCCACGACGGCCGAGTGGTTTGCGTGCATGGAGGAAGTGTCTGGCATCGACTTTCAAAACTTCCAGCGTGTGTGGCTGAAGCGCCCCGACCACCCCGAAGTCACGTACACGACCGCGTACGACAGCGCCAAGCAAACGTACAACGTCAAGCTGACCCAAAGCGGGTTTGAACGCTTTGACAACACGGACGCGGCCGGCCCGTGGGAAATCCCGATTGACTACGCGCTTATCAAGGACGGCAAGATCGTGCGTGAAGGCGTGTACTTCTTCAAGTCCAAGTCGGATGAATTCACGTTGGATAACATCACGAGCACCCCCGACTACCTATCTTTCGGCCGCCAATGGTCGTTCTTTGGTACGTCCAAGGCCCTCAACGCCACCAACGAAGCGTTGATCAAACAAGCCATCAACGACCCTGACGCGGTTAACCGGTATTTCGCCTACCGCGCCATCGCCGACGGCGAAAAGGCGCGCATTGTGGAAGCTTTGATCGGTGGCCGCAACGACGTGACCATTTCCCCCGCGTTTACCGCTTTGCACGGCTCCATTCTGTTTGACGAGACGTTGAACCCTGCTGTACGCGCGTTGATTTTGTCCGAGAAGAATGCGCTCACGACCCGCGAAGACTTGAGCCACCACTACGACCACATCACGACCGCCACGGTGGCCTTGCTGCAGTCGGTGTGGGCAGCCCACGGCGAAAAGATTGATGCCAAGCTCAAGGCTTTGATCAAGGCGTCGGTGCCTGGCCCCCACAAGGACCAATTGCTTGAACGCAAGCTCAAGCAGCACTTGCTGGCGATTGTCGGCGTGAGCACGGCCCCCCTAGCGTTGCCCACTGTGGCAGCGTCGTCGGTGACGATCGACGTGGCGGCTGTGGCGCTCAGCATCTTGAACACGTCGACGTTTGTCTCGGACAAGGAATTGGCGTTCCGCACGATCCTCTCGACCGAAGCGTATGCGGACCGCGCTGCAGTCCAAACCCGCATTCGCGATGAATGGTCCAAGACCCCCGAAATGCTGGAAGCGTACATTGCCACGATTGGTAGCTTGTCCACGTCCGACTTTACCACGCAAATCCGCACGTTGATGGCGTTGCCGTATTTCAACATCAACCAAACCCACCACACCCGCACGTTGGCCCGTGGGTTGAGTCAGATCCGCCACAAGAGCGTGCTGACCGAAGAAGGCCGCGCGCTGATGCTCGAGCTGTTCACCAAGATCGGCACGGTCAACCAAATGTCGGCGTACCCACTGTTGAAGTGTTTTGACCAAGTGGATGCGTTCACGGGGGCGACCAAGGACGCGTTGGTCAAGACGCTGCAAGCCATGCAAGACTCGATCGACAAGGTCAAGGAAGAATCTCTGTACAACCAGCTCAACATCATGCTCAAGAAGGCGTAAGGGGTGGAAGGACGACTGCAGTAGGCGTTAGTGTACATTTATACCGGTATATAATATATATATGCAGCGATGGCGTTCGAATATTGATGCACTGTGCCGTTGACATGACAGGCCACTAGTATTATTTGGCCCGTCAATCTTCTAAAACTGCCAATGATTCGGTTGAAACGAGCAACCACACATGCATGTTCAATGACAGAATTCCATTCCTTCTGTCGACATATATCGCAATCCTCTTCCCATGGCATCGGCACTCGACTCTCGCTATCGATATGAAGAGCACAACAACGAAAACAACGACGACATCGCCCTTGTCGAGTCGACCGAACCGCTGACCGAGCCAGCCGACGCAGATTGCCCCCCCAAGGTCACAAAGAAGACTGTGCAGGACCGACTGGCCGCCGCGTTGCGCGAAATCGACGACCAGAGGCGTTTGCTGGAAGCAGCAGCTTCGAATGGGTCGCTCCTAGCGGAAAAGTACTTTGCCTTGGAGGTGGAACATGACGTCCTCAGCGCCAAGTACTCTGACGCCCGCCAACACATTGAAGAACTCGAATCCCAGCAAAAGTTCAACCAGCACCGCGCCACGTCGGTGCAAAAATGCATCGATTTGGAGCAACAGCTCAATACTCATCTGCGGGAACAAGAAGCGCAGGACGAGACCCGGGAACGCCAGGACGCTGAGATTCAGCACTGGCGCGCCAAGGCCGCCTCCGCCGCAAAAGAGAACGCGCTTCTGCGGGACTTGGTGGCCACGCTGGAGGCAGACAAGGCCGACGCGGTTCAGAGCTGCCAGCACATTGCACAAGCCAACCGAAAAGTGCAAAGTGAACGAAGTGAACTGGCGACTCAGGTCAAGGAGCTAGAAGGCCGATTGAACGACCAGGCCGACCGAGAGCAGCGGTTGGTGCTGTCCCACGACATCAAGCTGCAGAAGATTCAACGCCTCGAAGCCACAGTCGAAGCGTTAGAAGAAGCCGTGCGAACTGCCACGGACAAACTCGTCAAGAGCGAGAAGGCCGCCAAGCTGCACGAAGACTCGGCCAAGGAACTCCGCGGCGTCGTCAACGGGTTGAAGCGGTCTTTGAGTTCGCTGCAGCAAGACTACCAACTGGTCGTGGACACCCACGCCATTGAAACACAATACGTCGAGAACCACGACACTCCAAACGAGTTGTCAGGATGGGACCACTTTCTGCTCGCGCTGGCGTCGATCAAGGAGTGTCTCGTCGACATGACCCACAACTTGACCAGTAGCTTCCGACCCCTGCGTTAACACGACGTGATTTACAAGCAGGACGAACCAACAACGACTTCACACTTGTTAATATCATATATGTATATAAATAATTACATCATACGACACTCCCACGAGGTTGCCGGAGGTTCCACTTGGACGGCAGCTTTGAGTGAATTCGCCTTGTTATACAGCGCATTGACGAGGAGACACCGGCGCCACCATGTTTGGAGGATCACGGCGGCTTTGAGGTCGACGCGGGCTTGTTCGTCCATGGGCAGCGAGCCAGGACCGTACTCCACGAGCAGCCCAATGCTCGAAAACGTCCGAGGGGCGCGGACGATGGTCTTGGTCATGTGCTGCTCTTCCGCCGCATCAAATGCATCCACTTCGGTCATCACCGCTCGTTGAAAGTTGACCATCTCTTCTTGGAACTTGTGCTTCTTGGCAGGGTTGAAGATCATGGGCGTGATGATCGACGACACGGCGCCAGTGGCCCCAGCCACCGCCTCGTAACTGGCACTGATCGTGTTCATCGCTAGCGACCGAACCCCCAAGTAAGCTCCGCTCAGCAGCTCGACCGGAGACCCCGACGCCAGCCCCCGAGCCGGCAGCCGGACGACTTCGAGCACCCCGTGGCCCAGTCGATAAATAATCCGGAACGGATTCACAAACAACGTGACAGTGTACAGCCCTTGGAGCACCACCAACAGCGCTTGCTGCATGTAATGGCGGTACAGCTTGTCCACAATCACAGTTTGACTGTCGTAAATGTGCGTAAACAGCAATTTGCTGAAGTACAATCTCAGGTCCTTGACGTTGGACACGGGCAAGTACGTGGCCAGCCGTCGACCGGACGGCCCGAGGGTCGCAATGTGCTTGCCGCCGTTCAGTTCGAGCGAAAACAAGATGCGGATCGACTCGACGTCCAGTTGTTCAATGTACATGCCGTCCGTGATGGGCTTCGCGTCAATGTCAGAGTACACGACCCGTTTGTCCAGAACGGACTCGAACGTTTCAGACGAACTCAAGCTCTCGAGGCCCTGGAACACGCTGATCAAGTTGACGACAAACTTTTCGTCGGTTGTGATTTCCAGCTCTTGCAGCACCAGCTCGACGAGCTCGACGTGGAACGACCCGGCGCTGCACGTGTCGTTGTACAGCATGCGAAGTTGCACCACGGGCAGCATGGCAATGTCGAATTGCTCAAGCAATTTCTTGTGCTTGTGGCTCAGGCACTGCCGCCACCGGTCTCGCAGCCGGACGCTGACCCCTTCCTTGCGCTTGTACCCCCTCGGCCCCAACACGACCTTGCGATCCATTTGGTTGTCCATCTGGACGTTGCCCACAAACAAAGACACTTCGCTCGTGCCCTTGTGGTTCTCGTACATGACGTTCACGCGCTGCAGGACAAAGTACGCCACGTCTAACCGGTTCGTGTTGTGCACAAAAGACACGCCAAAGCTCGACAGGTGCATGTTCATGATCACGCCGTCGCGGTAGTGGCTGCGGCGGTCGTCGTCCTTGTCCTGGTTGACCATGGTGCACTTGATCGCGAGCTGCACCGTCCCCACGGCGGTTCCGTCGGGGTGGATCAGTGGCCACCACGATCCGTCCAAGTCGCCCAGTTTGCGATCAGTCGTGCGCAACTGCTTCCACATTTTGTTGGGGATTTTCATGTCCACCATCCCCACGAGCTCTTTTTGCTTGGGAGGTGGGGGCAACACGTACTCTGCCGGCTGGGACAGCGGTGCAAAGTCTGTCCAGCTCGACGACATGGGCGACTCCCATTGCAAGTCGACAACAAGGTCGTTGTCACCGTCGCCTCCAGGGGGTTGGTTGTCGTCTGGCATCCGTTGAAACAGCGTTGAAATGCGAGGGGACACGTGGTCCGGCGTGACGGACAGAGGGGGCTGGTCGTCAATGTCCAGTTGGAGCGATGTAGAGCTCGTTTCTTGTTCGTACAGCTCGACAAACAATTGGCGCGGCCGCGCCACACATGGAAACACCATGTCGTACTCAAAGCGGTACACGCCGTGGCCTTTCATGGCGGCGCTGGGGGTGATTTGTCGCTGCGAGTCGCGCGCATCCGTGTGCAACGACACGAGCGCTTCTTTCGGTATCCCGGTCGGGGTCGACCCATCCACGTGGCGTCGCACGGCCACCACTTTGACTTCAAGCTTAAACTTGCTGCGGCGAAAGTCGTTGAACTCGGCATTCCGAAACACGAGCACGCGAGACGACGCGTTGAATTTCACTTCAGCGGCAAAGTGGCGTCGATGCCGCTTGTCTTCCCACACCACGGCTTCTTCCGAGTCGAGGCTGTCGAAGTCACACACTTTGGTTTTCGTGGGGGTTGTCCATTTCCCCATGGCCGTTTGCTCCATGAACATGCAGCACGACACTTTTCGAGGCGAGTCGGGCGACTCCCATGCAAATGTGGACGTGGACATGGGCGGGACGATCATGCTCTCGTGTTGGTGGACCTGGGACAGCTTGACCGCTTTGTCCGTGTTGTTTTGGACGCTGAGCATGGGTGGGTCGTCCCTCGACAGCTTGATCAGGATCGTCGCGCCCACCGTGTGCACTTTGACGCGGACCCGGGGCACGGACGGGGTCGCGGGGTCGTCGATGCGGGCCCCGGGCAGCCACAGCGAGAACTCGTCTTCGTTTTCAATGGAAAACAGACCGCTCCACCGGTCCGAGCTCAAGTAGTTTCGATCTGAACCGCCCCCGGCTTTTAAACACACGGTTTTGCCCGTCAATTTTTTCAAGTCGCCGAAATAGTCGAACGGCGTCTCGATCGTGTCGGCAGCGATCTCGACGTGGCGGCCACGACCGTGCGCTTCGCTGGCCATGACAAACTGGAGCCGCGTGTAGTTGACCACGACGTACCGCGACGAAATGATGACTTGAGCCGTGCGGTGGAACTGACCCATGGGGCGCTGGATGGCCACGCCCACTTCGTGCTTTTGCCGCTGGGCCCCCTTGAGCGTGAGCGACTTCTGCACCCCCACCACCCCCGCGTGAATGCGTTCCGACCACCGGCCCGGCTCGTGGTTCATGAGTGTGTTCAGTTCCAGGGCCAGAGTCGGGCAGTCCATCAGGCGCGGCTTGGGCTGGTCTTTCATCGTCGGACACGTAACGATCATGTTTTCCGAGCACCGCACCAGCAGATCGTTCACGTGCGAGTAGTTGTAGACCCACACGGAGCAGAAAATCACCGTGCGCGGACTGCCGTTGTCGGCCACGGTGTAGTCGAGTCGCGCCGTGAATAAGTGCACTATGCTGCGCACGATGTCGTTGGCCACGGGACTCTCGCGGATAAACTCGAGCGTGTCGGCGCTGCGGCGCTGCTCCGGCTCGTCGGCTCGGGAGATGGTTTGGTTGGAAATCGTCGTGCCTTCTTGGGAAATGCACTTGGCCAAACTGATGGGCGGCGTCCACGACGACGCTTCGTCCGGCGCACACAAGTACAAGTACGCTTGTTTGTGAAAGTGCAGGAGCTCTACTTCATCCCCTGGTGCGAGCGTTCCTTCCGCCACCTAACACATCGACCAGTGTTAGAGGGAATCCTTTACATGCTACTGGTTTTACCACGATCGTCGTGGCCGTTTCCTGCCGAGATGGCACTTTGAGTTTGTACTTTAACCGAATCGGCAGTGCGTTTTCAAACACAAACCCGGCGTGCAGTCGGATTTGGTACTTGGAGTCGTGGCTGATGATGTCAGATGCCGTGGATTCCGTGTCAAACTGCTCTTCGCGGTACACGTTGCGCATGTGGCTAGAAATCTCCATGAAGAAGCAGTACCCGCAGTCTTCGTGGTGGACGGGGGCCAGGTACACGACGTGGCACCCCACTTGATCTTGGAGGGTCGCTAGCTCGGCAATTTTGGTCCGCTTCGAGTTTTGCACTTGGAGCATCACGCCATACAAGTTGTCGCTGTACAACGCCCCCAGAGGAAGGGAATACTTGCGTCCGGGGTTCACTGGCACCATCGCCTATGAAACTTTCATGAGAATTGGCGTATGGTCATCATCGTTCGTTATCCCGGGTACCTCGAGTCTGGGCACACTCGGAATCGAAATGGACCGACCTCGCGCACTTACTGGAAGGGGCAGGCCGTCGAGAGCCGACGAGTCGCACTCTGCCAACGGGAACGTGCCGACGTTTACAACTACGTTGGTCATATTCTTGACTTGTTTCGGGGAGCTGAGCATCAACACGCGGCGCAATTCGTCGCGCTGGGCGACTTTGACTTCAGCCAGCACGCCTTCGCCTTTGATGAAGAACTTGCCGGCGCGTTGAAGCGGACACAGCAAGCTCCGAGGCCGACCATCGACCACGACTTCGAGGGCCAGTGGCGGCACGTAGCCGTTGCGAATCCGTTCGGGCACTTTGATCTTCAACGTCGAGTCTCCGTCCGTGGAGTCCCGCATGTCGACCCCGCCAGACCCGAGTCGGAACGGATCGACCATGAGGGACCCCCCACTCAAGACAGTTTGCACCGTCGATCCTTTCGTGAGCGGAAGCGTTGGCGTAAAGTGCAGGGCGACCAGCACCTCGCCAGTGACCACCCCCCGGGGATCCCTCAATCGATGCCACTGGCAAAACTTGACTCGTTTCGTGTCCAACTTGTCGGTGCCCATGAGGTTCCCGGCCAAATTGAGCTCCACAGACCCGTGGTCCGTGTCCTTGCCATGCAGGCGCACGTTGAGCCGAAGTTTCGGCGCCACGCCGGCATTCGCGCCACCGTATTTCAATTGAAACGTGCAGTTCAACGACGCCAGGGGGGTGCTCGTTTCCTGGGGGTTCCACCACGGCAGCATGATCACCTCGACCTTGGCGTCGTGGAACCGCGTGTACGTGGGGAGGCTCCATCCGTCTCGGATCTCCACGGTGAGCACCCCTGGGTTGGTCGTGTTCAAGTTGGCCAGACGAAGGGGCACGCCGAGATTGTTGATCACGTTGACACACTCGGACGACTCGCTGGACGACGGGAATATGCGGTCGGCGTTTTTCATTGACGACGGCTTTTGGTGCTTGGTCACAGACACCACGAGCCGGACCAACGCTTCGGTAAAGTTGACGTTGAGTCGGTGGCGGGCGTTGAAATCGACCGTCAACGGCATGCCGGCCCCCCCAAGCGGTTTGCTCACGTGCCCGACGACTTGCCACGGCTCGACGACCGTCTCCCAGTCTGCCAATGCATTGTTGTAGTACCGAGCGGAAAACGTGACTGTGGCATCCACGTCAAAGTCGCCACGGAACTCAGTCGACGTCCGGGCGCGGCTTTGAATGTCGCTGACCGAGAACTTGATCACGGGGATGTACGTGTCGAGGGCGACCAAGGACAAGCTGCGCTTGACCACTTCGAACACGACCCTTTTGCACTCGACGTCAATCACGTCTTTGGTGCCAGCCCAAAACGTGGCACTGTACGTATGCAGCAGCACCACGTACGCTTGGTACGACAAGAGCGGTTGAATATACGACAGCGTTTGGAAAAACTCAGAGTTTCGACCGGTTTGGCTCCGCGGATGGGCGCGAAGGCTGCGCTGGGAGCGCACCGACACGCCGGATTCATTGCGGACGTGCCGCGGCCGCGTCGAGTCGGATGGAGGCACGTGGGGGACAGGCGACGACAGCGGCGACGGCGCGACCATCGACAGGTTATCATCGGGGGTGTAGTCGTTGCCCCCATCGAAGTCGTCGTCGTCGTAGTCGTCTTCAAACAACTGGAAGGCTTCAAAGAGCTGGTACAACACCCGCATACGACGGTCTGCTTCCAGTTTGACCTGATCGATGCTGATCGACGTCGTTCGATCCAACGAGTGCATCGCGAGGTCGTACTCGACCACAAACCCGTCGACTTGGGCCAGACGGAGCTGGTTTTCAGTCGTCATGACGTGCAACGACGTGGACGCCAACGCCAAGCGCATGCGCTCGCAGTCCGTGGATGCAAAGTACGACAACGCGTTGCCTTCCATGACAAACTTGGCGACGCAGTGCTTCTCTTCCACGTACGCCTCAAACATGCCGATGCGAATGTCCACCGTGACTTCGTGGCATCTAATGTACGGTTCCGAAGACACAGAAGACGATGCGGGAGGTGGAGGGGGGGTCGGGTTGTCCCACAGAGGGGCGAGTTCACACAAGGCATCTGCGACCACTTGTTGGAACGCCTGGGGCAAGATGCAGCCGCTCAATTGCACGCCAAGACACAGCCCCGGCTTGACGTTGTCTCCGTCGAATTTGTCCTTCATCTGCGGCCCGCAAAACTGCAATGCCAATGAAAACTGGCCCTTGTCTTGCAGCTGCTCGGCATTGATCGCGACCGCCTTGAGTTTGCCGCGCTCAAACTCCAAAAACGTGTCCCCAATGTACACCAGGCAGTGCGGTTTGGCCGACCGCCGATCGCGCACTTCGAGTCGCCCCATGCGCACGTCGGCCACAAGGGCGCCAGCTTGCTCCATGCTCAGTCCAGAACTCGGCGCGGGGTCGTGCAGATATATTGTGCCAGATACGTGGTTCGTGTACAGGCTGATCCACTTGTGCAAGTTGGCGTACATCGTGCGAACGTTGTGGTTGGGTTTCGCCGTGTTGCTGAACCGGACGCCCAAGTGGGCGCGCCACCACGTCGGCCACGACACCATCTTGTTGGGCGCCGGGCGTCGCAGGTGCTGAATGGACATATCTCGTCGGCAGGCCATTCGTTTTTCCCACAGAACATGGCGCCAATCTGCAATTTCCTCGTAGCTGTACGAGGCCAAGAGGAACGAGCGCGACGTGTTTGGTTTGGTCGAGGGGTCGTCGGCCTTGTCCACGATGGTCACTTCGATACAATACGACAAGCGGCCTTCCAGTTCCCCCGCCGGCCCCAAGTGGTTGACATCCAGACTTTGCAGTCGCACAGGCCCGGCTCCTTCAAGTCGAGGCGGCTGTGCTCCTTCCCAGTTGACCAGGTCGACCACGTTCCCAACATGTACGACCGACACGATGTTTTCCACCATTTCTTGATCGATCAACACCCGAGCAGTGTTGTCTTCGTAAAAGCGCAGCTGGCCACATTCGTCCACATACACAAAGTGTTCATGCCATCGTCGGAAGGCCAGCGTCAAGTCTTGACGGAACAGCCAGCCCCGGTACGCCCCACGCGCGTCGACCATGCATTTCCGCAACCCTAGCGTCGGCGCTCGAGGAACTGATGTCACGTCCCCCACTTTGAACCCATTGAGGGCGGAATGCCACATGCTGATGCTTGACGGATCGGCACTCGCGACGAGCAACTCGAGCGTGTCCATGACGGTGTGCGCCGCGTTTCCAAACGCGTTGGTCACGAACTTGGTCGTCCGAAACTTGATCTCGAGAAAGTGCATCGGTGAGGCAAAGCACGGGGCAGTGATACTCGTTTGATCTTTTGGGCGAATCGCGACATCCACGCAGTGCTCCATGGGCCACAACTCGACCATGTCGTCGTCTAAACAAGACGCTTTCCGATATAGACCAAGGACGCCCGTCGTCTTGTCCAGCACGACAAACAGCGGCATCCACCGCCGACACCCGAGGCGGTAGTCGTGCACGTACAGGTACCCCCCTTGTCGCTCCGTGTCCGGATGCACGTCATGGGCGTCGGGTGGGAGGGCGGGGGGGTACAACGGCCGACGCGACGGCAGCGCAAAGCGCCGGATGTTGCGGCCGCGGACGTACCTCTGTAGATGAATGACAGCCGCCACTACGCGCTCCAGCATCAGGGTGTCCTTGAGCCAATCGTTGAGCCCCATCCCGCCAGCCTTGTGCAGCGTGAGTTGGCTGAAAATGGACCGGCTGGTCGTTGGGTTGATGGCTACGGATTCGGCTCGTGTGGCCCGTTGGCGTGGTTGGACGCCCGGGGCTTTGACAAACACGCGAAGAGACTGGATGGAAAAATCGTACCGGAGTCGAAGGGGGGTGTCTGCTTGCAGAAGCATCGCCGACGTCGTCGACGAGTTGGCCACGGGGCGTGGGGTCGCGGCGGCAGGCCCAAATGCTCGTGCAGCGAAGTCGGACAGCGCTCTAGTGAAAGCGAGCATTTTCGTCCGCTCGTAGATGACAATCAAGTCGCCAACGTGCAGACCGTATTGCGTGGCATATGTGAAACCATCAGTAGCAGCAGTAGTAGTTGTTGGTGGTGGTGGACCCGCAGGTAACGAAGGATGGTCCGTTTCCAAGCAGTTCATGTCCAGCACAAAGATCGGTCGCACGTCTTTGGGGTGCTTGATCTGATCGATGCTCGACGCCAAGCACTGATTGCGATGGGGCGACGAAACCGACTCTTGCAGGTAAAAGTGACGCGCCGACAGTCGATACCGATGGAACGAGAACCACCCGGGCCCAAACCCGCGGATCGACAGGTCCACGGCATGGAACACGGCCGACGCCACCACTTGCTTCAACGGCGTCAGCACCAGACGCAGCTCCACGTGCGGCGCACACACGTCCAGAATCGACACCAATTGCTTCGGCGTCACGATGCTGGCTTGCACTTGGGGGTGGCGAAACGTGAGGACGCACGACGCCAGTTGGGTCTTGGCGTGGAGATGTTGGATCAACTCGTCAATGGTTGCGAACGAAACCAGCGACGACAGGTCCTGACCGTCCATTTTCACGAGCAACAGGCCAGGTTTGATGGCGGTTTTGGTCTTGGCTTGACCATAGCATTCGTCCACCACGGGTTCGTGACGAGCATTCAGATGCATCTTCAAGCCCAACTCACCCCGTTGAAACTTGACGTTGATCTGCGGCGCGGGGATGCCAAACACTTCGCCCAAGTCGTGCAGCGACGTGCGCGACATGTCTGGGTCCATCGTCACATCGTCGTCTTCGAACGCCGCGGCGTTGCGCATCGCGATGGCCGCGTCCACCGACACGAGCTGTTCGAGCGCCTGCAGCTGCTTCCACGCGTCCGTCTTCTTGACGAGGTCCCACTTGGGCTGCTTGGTGTACACCTTGTGCAGCGCCTCCCACAGCACCAAGTACTGGTCGTTGAGCGTCGTCGTGTAGTGTTCGCGCTCGTCGGAGCGCACGCGTTGAGCGATCGCGTGGCGCCACTGGTCGTGCAGTGTAAACAACCCCAATACGTGCGTCACCAGCACCATCTGCTCGTCGTCGGCCATCGCCACCAGCTTGGACAGTTCAAACACCGCCGAGTAGTGCGGCGTGTCGTCCACAGTCTGGTCGTCCTTGACATCGATGTTCATCGTCAACTTGAGCGTGACGTGGAACGGGGCCAACACGAAGCGGTGGGTGTGCGCGTCCGCGTCGGTCGCTTGCTTCTTCCACCACCGCAGGTCCGTCGCGGGGTCCGCCATCGCTTTGAGACGGAACAGTGTCGCATGCAGCACCTTTGGGTGCTTGGACGAATGCACAAAGTGCAGCGCGTGTGGGTCCACGTACGCCGACATGTTGGTGGCCTGGATGAGCTTCCACACGACGTGGTTGCCGCTCTCGGGGTCGGCTTCGTTGCGGGCCTTGGCGATCCAGTTGCTGCCCGTGGTTTCCGCGTACAGCGCGCCGATGCTGCAGCCGACCGCGTACTTTCCGCTGGCCGAGCGGGGCGCTTGGGACAAGTCGCGGCTCGTATCGACGCCTTCGAAGCGAATGTGCACGTTCTTGAATTCAATGTGCAGGTTGTCCATAAGCCGCGTGACGAGCCGCCCAAAGAACCCGTCGGCGCCGTAATACCCTTGCGATTCAGGCGCGTCTTTCTTTGATTTCGCCGGCTTTGTCTTCGCGTCCGTTGTCGATGTGGAAGGAGGTTGCGAGTCCTGAACGACAACTGTCTTGTCGATGGGAGGCCCGTGGATGCGTTCCAACACATCTTTCTCTAACGCGGCCTTCTTTTCTTCTTTGAGAGATTCGATCTCTTGTACCTTCTCAACGTCGTCCAAGTTGCGCGGAGACAGCACGACAAGCACGTCTGTGAGTGTGATCTTGGCCGGCGTGGTCCCGAACGTTTTGAATGGAATGTTCATCGTCAAAGACCCAATGAGACCCGCTTTGAGCCGGAACGGCGCCGACACGGGGATGATCGAGTCCTTCAAGTTGACGTTTTCAAAGCGCACGTTCTCATCGTTCCAAATGTTGATGCTGAGGTCTAACTTGTCGCTTTCGATCCAGTCACCTAGAAGGTTGGCCACGATTGCCTTTAGGCGCCCTTCTATCATGCTGTGTCTGCCGCGCCGCCTCCGTCACCGTTGTTGGAATGCCGAATTACTGATCCAACACAAAACAGTTGGAACTTCCAAGAGGTCCTGTGATTGGTGGATATTCGAAGTTACTTTGCGTTTCATTGGCTCAAAAGCGTTTGATCGTATAGTCATGTTTCTTTAATCCTACTTCTTCACGCATGTGAGCTTATGCACCCGCCAGTGCGACTTTTGACACACTTGACTGCAGTAGTACTCGGCCTGGCATCGCGAACATCGGTGGACACCTTTGGATGAGCACGACGGGGACGCGCATTGTCGCCCCGATGCTGCCGCGGACGACGCGCTTTGGGAGTTGCCGGACGACTGACGTTGCGCGATCTTGATCCATTCCGCATCGGCGTTGATTTCCGACAGGGTGAAGTCCAGGCGCACAAACGCATCGTCTGTGTACCAAAATGCACGACTTTAGGACGATATGGGATCTACAACATTCAGTGGATACGCCGGACGCACCGTTGTCGAAAAGGCGGGCGATAAAGGCATCGCCTCGCACTTCCAGCATCTTGCCACATGCTTGGGCGATCGCCGAAGCCCGCAGGTTCACGGGCAAGTTCTTGGCAGTGCCCTTGTCATCAACGTACAAGTTGACGCCAACATACTTCACGGCTGGTGTGTTCAAAATCAACGGAATTGAATCGACCAAGCTTTCCATCTGCACCACGACGGTCACGTTTCGTTGGGTAGGATGGATACACAAGTGTGGGTAGTACCTGCAGCATCATGGCCATCATTTGGTCGTTCACGGGAGCATCTTTTGGGAGCTACATGTAGACATTAACAATGTGAGTCGCATGATTGAGCACAACGGGAGACGTTCTCCATACCTGCTTGATGATCTGTTGGCGGAACGCGTCCTTCTGTTCGTCCGTGCTCGCGGCGCCAGTTTTGCCCTTGAAATGGGCTCGCAACCGCTCCGTCAGACATGCGATTTGACCATCCACGTCTTGCGGCAGGTCCAGATGCCACTCTTGCAGCTCAGTGCCCTCGTCCGCAGGAATATACACGATCGTGAATTGCTTTGGCATGTTGAGTTCAACCAGCACCAACGAGAATGCTGAACAAAAATCGCGTTATCCGGATTTCATCATTCCGGATACTTTTGGAGGGAATCGAATATAACGCAGTGAAATCGGGTTTAAACAATGACTCCAACCTAAGCTATTCTCACTCTGCGATGCATTGGACGGGTTCGCGATACCAAAAAGGTTGGCGTAGCTGCACACGCAAGTGTTCTTGCCCTCATTCAAGATTGATCGCTCGATTATTGTTGGAGTGCGATCCTTTGACACAGAGTTAACCAAGTTGAAGTGGGAGAGGCTGTGGGCGTCTAACCTTAAAACGCAAAACAACGTTTGGCGTTTTATATGTTAATCTCAAAGTGGTATGGGTTATTTTTCCCGCTACAATTTGCATTTTGCCTCACGGGGATGCCAAGTTGTCTGTCGCCTCCTTGCTCCACTGCCACCTCGAGCTCACAAAGCAGAATGCCTATCCGAAGCATCTGGCGCCATGCCCTTCAAGGAGAACTGCAACTGATCATTGGGCCCATGTTCAGTGGCAAAAGCACAGAACTCATTCGCCGCATGCGCCGATACCAGCACGCCCAACTCAAGTGCATGGTCGTGAAATCCAAGATCGACGATCGCTACACGAATGACTCGTACGTGTGGTGCCATTATAATGCTTGGAACACTAAGTATGACGTCATGTTGCAGGTTGGTGAGCACGCACGACCGACAAATGATGAAGGCGAATCCCCTGACGCGCCTCGAAGACATGGGGGACGAGTTCATGAAGTACGACGTGATCGGCATCGACGAAGGCCAATTCTTCACTGATGTACGTATCGCTTTCGAGTCTCCTCAACTCAATATCGACGCGCTAGCTGCATTCGTTCTGCGATGACGCGGCCAACCGGGGAAAGATCGTCATTGGTACGTCACAACAATGCAATCCCCATGCATTCCAATCTAATGGGATAGCGTGTATGTAGTCGCTGCCTTGGACGGGACCTTTGAGCGCAAGGTATGTCGTTTCGTCCATCAGATCCTGACCTTCCATGTGCCTAGCCATTTCAACATGTGTGCGATTTGATTCCTCGCGCCGAAAGTGTGACCAAATTAAGCGCCGTGTGCGCCATTTGCGGCAGCGATGCCGGTATACTCTCTCCTTGGAATGTTGATTTTGCTCAAGAGTGTTTGTAGCGTTCACGCGGCGCTTGGTCAGCTCCACCGCGGTCGAGGTACTACCGATGTTACTGCTCTGGATATATCAGTTTTTCATGTGACTGTGTGAGCTAGTTGGTTGGGGGAAGTGAAAGCTATCAACCCGTGTGCCGCAACTGCTTTACGACCCCCTTGGTGACTGGCGAGGAAGAACAAGTGAATTAATATTTGCCTTGAATATATCATATATATATCTATATTTGACGGTATTAATATTAATACTTGACACCAAGGGTGTGTGGTGCCATGTAATTCTACCCAAAGATTGAACGAAGGGACGACTGGGTGTCGTGCGTGAGCTGAGTCATCCACCCACCGCAGACCAACACGCAAATGCTGTCGACGGCGTCATACTCGTCGCCCAGGAATTCGCGCAAGCGCTGGGCATACAACGGAGCCAGCTACAAACAGTGTCACACTCACATTCCATGCGACACGATAACATCATGTTGCCCCTACCGCCGTGCCGCACGCTGGTTCGACCACAAACTTGTGGTCGTTGGCAAACTGCACGCACGCGTCCACCGCCTCGGCGTCGCTGACGCTGTTCGCGTGAACGTTCATCTGCGTCGCGTATGCGTACGCAGTGTCGGACACGGCCATCGCGCCCAGGGACTTCGCGATCGTGTCGATCTTGGCCAGCGTGACCTTCTTCCCCGCTTGCATCGATCGTTCCATTTTGTTGGCGCCTGTGGTTTCCATCGCCAGGACCCGCGTTGCCTCCCAGCCGTGCCTATCATTTATTGATTTACTACGTAGGTATTGAATAATATATGAAGGAGGTACGCGCTTAAGCCTTGGCACACGCCGGCAAAGTACCCGCCGCCACCCACGGCCACCACGACAAGGTCCGGCTGGACGGGTAGTTGGTCCTTGAGTTCGCCAATGACACTGGAATGTCCTTCCCTAATAAAGATCTGCGTTTTGAGCATAGCCAGTGGGGGTGATGATGCCAGTTGATTGTACACAATGTCGGCATGGTCGAAAGGATGAATGTACGCAGCCTTGGCCGACAACTCGTTCGCTTTGGCTAGAAACTGCATCGCAGCTTCGTGCGCTTCGGCCCACACCTGAAGATACAGACGAGATGTGAAGAATGATGAGTATAGTTGGGAGCGTACTTTGCCCTGGACAATCACGTGAAGACCTTCCAACGCCAGCCGTTCCCGCATGTACACTGGCGTGCTTTCAGGGACAAAGACCGTGCCGGGGACGCCCAATTTCAGTGCACTGCAAGCCACAGCTAGCCCCGCGTTTCCGCCAGAGCTGGCCACCAATTGCGTCGCTCCTTTTTCAACGGCACGTTGGCACTACGATCTCGCACGATGAACGAGTTACGGCATTGTTGTTGGTAACGTACCGCAAGGCCCACGCCGCGCAACTTGAAGCTACCAGACGGCTGGGTGTTGTCCAGCTTGAGATACACGCGCTTTTTGAGCAAGTGGCTGAGCACACGGCTCTCAATGACTGGCGTCACAATGTGCATCACAGGAGTTGCCATGATGAGCTCGCCACCAAAAAAAGCAGGATCGAAAGCTCTCAAAATCGGTTTTTGATGGCCAATTTTGATTGGAAATAATTCTCAATAGTGATAAACGTTTTGATTGGATATAAATGTGATATTTCTAGCTGTTTCATTGGACCCTGTGGCTGCTGGAATCACCGAACAACACAACAGAGAAGACAACCGCGATCATGGCAACCCAACGCCGCTTACTTCCGCTCGGTAAGGAGGATGTAACCAGCATGGATGCTCACATATGGGCATCGTCCTTTTCGTGTAGAACTGATCGACAAGTGCATCGGGTCTCGCATTTGGATCATCATGAAAGGCGACAAAGAATTTGTGGGCACGCTAAGGGGGTTCGACGACTACGTCAGTACGTTCACCGTCATGGGACCTCCCTTGTCAGGACGCTAACGTATTGAATAGATATGGTTCTCGACGACGTCATCGAATAGTACGTCGAATCGCAATATGTACACCGTCCACATTAGCTTACTCCTCGATCTCCACATCACAGCGAAGTCACCCCGGAAGGCAAACGAAAGGTGAAGGTTGACCAAGTCCTGTTGAACGGGAACAACGTGTGCTTGGTACGACATCCCATATCCAAGTGACCTATGACTCCACGTTGTGATGTAGCTTGTACCTGGTGGAAACCCTGAAGAAAGCGACGCCTAAGTGGCATGTTTGCAGGGATGTGAGCAGTTGAAACATTTCCAAGCTATAACAGCGGCGATATTCCATTGAACATGACTTCCAATGCTGCACCCTAATCCCATACTCTCTTGGCCCCGATAGTAGGCTTCTTGGACACAACACGTACTTCGTAGTATCATGTATGGCCTGAGATAATGCAGGCTTGGACACAACAAAGCGGAATAATATGGACAAGTAGCATGATTTCCATTGTCGTGTGCATTATTCTACCTATACAAATCTATTTCTTGGACTTGGAGTCGTTCTTTTCCTTGATGGCTTTTCGGTACGACAGTTTGATCAGTCGCCGCTTGTCCGTCATGGATTCGAGGTTGTCGTATCCTTTGCGTTCGAGTTCTCCCAGCGTCGGCTTGGGATCCAACAGCGTGTACAGCCACTCGGGGTATTCCTCACGAGCTTTCAATTCCGGGTGCGTGCTGTCCTTGAGGATGTTCACAGGGGCGTATTTGGTCACGTCGACCACTTCGTCCACGACCTTGGGGCCGCCTTTCTTGTCCTTGGCCTTGGCAGGGGCCTTGGCAGCAGGTGCAGCATAGCCTCGCGTCAACCGACCTACCGGCTGGCGTTGAGTGACAGCTCGGACGCAGCGCAACATTTCGTCTCCCTGTCAACCAAAATGAACTGAATGGCCACCACCAGCGGCAGGTCTGGCCAGGATTGGTTCAATGTTATCCGGAATTTCGTGCTCCAAAACAAGGCTATTTCCGGATAATCATATCTGGCGCGTTTGACATGCATGAAAGGTCATCCGTCATTGAAGTTGGTGGAGCAGTCTAGGGAATGAGATGCCTTCAGGACAATCGAAGGTGAAGTTGCATCTGTCACCCAGCACGGTACTTCCATCGACCGAAGCAACTTGACGTGACTTTGCAGTCGACGAGAAGTCCCCTCGGTGGAGCACCCTGCCGCCGCCATAGTGGCGTCGAAAGGTCCGCGATATGGGGGCGTCATGGACTCATACACAAATGCCATACGTACTTTTCATGGCAGTCGTACATATCAATGACATAACCTGGATGTATTTTAACCCAGCATATACTGCTTGTTGGTACGAGTGTGCATTCAACACGTTTCGAACGCCTCCTTGAAAACACGACCCAGGTAGACACTATAAGCAAATTTACAGCTCTTCGTGACTTGCTTCGTTCAACTTGGCTTGGATTGTGTCCCACGAACTGGAAGATCCCCCCACGACGTTGATGAAATGACCTCGAATTGCTACACGTCTCGCGTGACTTTGTCCGTGCTGTTTCAAAATGTCCAGCAAAAAGGCGTCGCTAGAGTTCGTACAAACGATCAGCACAGTGTCACACATACGATACACACGAATACCGTCGGTTTTTCCGCGCGGGCCATTCACCCAAATTTTTTAGGCTTGCGATTCTCTCCCAAGCGTCGGCTACACGGGCGTCGTGCTTTAACGTCACAGGGAACCTAAGCCGCAACAGGTCTCGCGCAGTCTTGCCGGACACCATCGCGGACGGGATCGTGATGTTGTACGCGTCCCACGGATCGGCCACAAACGGGCGTGTTAAGGGCCCGTCTCCAGTGTGAACAAATAGCACGGACGCAGCCCCGGCGACTTGGGCGTTTGATACCTTGAAACAATGAAAAAGAGTGTCATCGGATAGCAAGGGATGTTGGCGCGTACCTTGGTCAAGAACGAGCAGCTGCGGTCGTCGTGTGTGAAAATGACAACCATTTGATTCACCACGGTCATGTCGAGCGTATGACACGCATGCGACGGCACAGCTTCGACAAGTGGAAGGAATTGCGTGAGAAACGGACTTCCAAACGTCGACGCCAAAAACTCCCAGTCCGAGTCGGACTTTTCCGTCGAGTGCACGAGCCCCCCGCGCACCCCCGACGTCAAGTGCTGCACGTGCGTCGGCTCATGGGGACCACATACAGACGACTGTGGACACGTCATGGGAATCAACCGTCCGTACACGTTCTCCCGGCTCACAGCCACGCGGATTTGGTCCCCTACCGTCGAAAGCGAATGTTATTAGTACGTCGAAGGGGTATGTATACGTACCTCCACTTTTCCGCACCATGACCGTGGGGATGTCGATTTCCCCCTTGATTACATGCGCTACGGGGCGCACGACTTCTTCGGTGTCGCTCACAATCACGAGACCCGCCGCGCCGGCGGCTTGTACATTTCTGGACTTGATTTCAAACGAGCACACGCCTCGATCCAACACCACGAACGACGAATTCGAGATCAGCGACCGATCGGACACGTTGAAGGCAGAGCAGCCCAGCGTGTCCAAGGGCGTGACGAATTGCCACTCGTCGCCAGAAATGTGCCCGCCGTACGAATCGCGAAAGTACTGGAGCGGCGCGACGCCATGTCGAAGGTAAATCCGACCCCAAAATGGAGGACTTTCGTCGGTGGTTTGGCTTGCAACCATGACCAGAGACGCCGCGAGCATCGTCCGAGTTGTTTGCATTACCGTCATCAGCTCAGCACCTTTCAAAATGGCGTTGTGGTCGACGGACGATGTCGATTTTCGAAGGATCGTGACCCTTCGATTTAAGATACTTCTGTCGAGTGATTGGCCATTGCGCTATTAATAGTAGTACTAACTATGGTAGATTGATATCCTAGGGCGCTGTTTTCAGTGCATTATAGTCACACGAACGATGAATAGATAAGCTTGCATGAACGTTAGCAGTAAGCCGTAGTTGGATCAATGCATCGTCACAAAGCGCAGCCCCCCATGCATAACGTAATCGATGTGTCGTTGGAATAAATGATTGCAGAGCAGGTGCCGCATAGCTTGGCCCCACACTTGTAGCATTCACAAACACACGACTTGCAGATTGCCAACTCGCAAAATGAGCAATTCACCCCCGACACCCCAACGGCCTTGCGACACGACGAGCACGATTTGGGGCGATAATGGTCGACCAGGAATTCCAAAATTCCGTCCACGCTGTTGATCGTTCCGCCATGCTTATGGGAGGTATGCACAACGCCACGTGAAATCCAATCCAGGACGACTTGATGGACGAAATCACCCACTTCAGCCAGCGCAGCGACCACATCGATCTGTTGTTGCTGCGCGAGACGCCACAGCGACATCTGCCTCTTGTACTCTGGCGACGAAAGGATGTTCTGCCCGACACAATTTGCACTTGTCAGGACGAAATCCTTGGTCACTGTGGCGACACCGTACTGCACAAATTGAGATGAAAGCAAGCGCATGGACCGATTCAGAGTTGGAGTCCACGTTGGAATGCCCATGTCGAGGAGGCACGTGTCCAGGGCATTGGCCCGGTGGATGGAGCTGACGTGCATCTTCACCAAAGTGTCGGCCAACTGGTCCAAGGTACTGACTTCGATCCCACAAAAGCAAGGGAGGCCGTTTTTGACATAGATATGTCGCAACTCGAGGTTGACGTAGCTGATTTCAGGCCACTTCCGCGACACCAACGCTTCGTGAAGGCGCTTGGATCGTTCAAACTTTTGATAGCATGTCGACACGTAAGTGGCCACTACGCGACGGGCGATTTTCATCGTGTTCGTGAACGACTCGGCGTCCATCTTCACGGCCAATTCGGCCCGCATCTCGACCAATGCGTCGAAGGCAGAGCGCGGGACGGTGTTGCCGATTCCGTAATTCGTACACGCAGAAACGATCACGTGCTTTAGAATCGCGTCCAAGTACAGGTGGCACGGCCACTTTTCCACGTACAGCAGGTACAGGACCAACCCGTTGGCACTGGAGATGAACTCCCCGTCGAGGCAGATGGACCCAGACACGATGAACTCTTGCAGCAACGACCAAGCGCTGGATTCAGGGCAGATACGAAGCTGGTCGCGGGCCACACCAAAGTACTTCATCGATTTCCAAACGCGGTCTTGGTTGGAAAGGTACGTGGACGTGGTCTCAATCGCATAGTCGAATGGAATGTGGCCAGTTTCGACGTATTCGTCGGCCCAACGAAACACACACCGGTGGTACATCTGGACATCGTGGCATAACACTCCTCGAGCTTTCAACGTGGCAAAGAGGGCGTCGCGGCGGCATGCATGCTGTCGTTTGACCATGCCCACGGCGTGGACCAAAGACTTGGCACTGCTGTAGCAAGCCCCGTCCAGTGTAGCGTACCCGTCGCGAACAAATTGGTCGTAGCTAGGAGCGTCGAGGGCATCGGTGTTATCGCAAGCACCCACCAATGCGTCCCGTCTCAGCCATTCTTGATACACAACTTGCACAAGCGACGCCAGTGTACTTTTGCACGACTTGTTGGAATTCACGGCGTCCAACAAAAAGCCTCGGGCGGGGAACCGGACGGATCCTGATTGCTTGAGTTTCTGCAGAAGTTTTGCCTCCAGAGTCGAACATTTCTTGGCTGCTTCAACATAGTGCCACACCAACTTCTGCGCGCCGACAAACGTAGCCCCAAGAAACGTGACCACACCGTCGAATACAAACGTCTTGTACGGGGAAATCACGAGCACTGCACGCATCGCTTGTACGTCGTCGGCCGGGTTGGAGCCTGGGGACATTTGGCTAGTGATTTCACCCAAGCGGACATAACAACTCGCCAGAATCCGGGCGACGTCAGCTGGTCGGTTGATGCACTTGCCAAACCCCAGGATAACTTCGCCATGTTCGACGAAGGTGTCGATAATATCCTGGAAGACGTCAAGCATCTTGTCGGGGCAGTTCAACGAACCATTGTGACACAACTGCTTGATGTCGTCTTGACGCTGTTTTGCGATGTAGTACCTCGAGTACGCGATAGCTGGGGTCAATGTCGGGTCGTTCGAAAGGCAAAACTCGGTGATCCATCGCTGGTTGGGGTCAAACGCAAACGCTCGGCCAATTTGGGAAAAATATCGCCGAACTACACGCGTTCGCAGGTCCTTCCAAGTTGGTAGCGCTGAGCGTGGTATGCTGACGTGGCTTTGGATGCATTGGGCTACCAGGTTGGCCGACAGCTTTGTTCGCGGCCGATTCAAGTAGTCGGAGTACTTGGAGCACTTTTGGGGGGACAGTTTCTTCGAAATTCCGCGGTCCGAGAGTAAGTTGAATACTTCGCTTCGTTTGAAATCCATCAAACAAGCTCGCCGCAGCCATTTTTGGATCTTCTTTTGCTGAATTTGCTGCAGGCCGCCAAGGCTACCGTGCTTGGAAATCGCACAATACATGGCCTCCATCTCCAAATACAGCTTCATTCGTCCTGGGCCAAATTAGTTTCATTTTGGAATGATTCCATACCTCGAACAATGAACTGAAGGGGAGCCATGTCTACGTCGTTGAGGGAAAATTGTTCCTTCGCATACGACTTGCTGATGAGGACACTCTTGGTGCAGTGCTTTCGATGGTCGTTGCAAAGGTTGACAAACTTCCACGGGCGAATGGATGGGCTGTTCTTCTCGAGGCACACAAAGCATCGCCTTTCTTTGGCGCAAAACATTCGCTTGAGGTACTCCTTCCACGATGCCGCGTGTAGATTTGGACATACCCCGATGTACCCGTTGAAAAGTGTCGCCCACATGACCTCCAACGTCACCTTGAGGTACCGGCAAGTTGACGACAGCACGACGATTGATCTTCCATCCAGGTACTGCAGCACAGACAGAACGAGTTCTGGTGGAAGGGATTTGAAGGTTGTCGATTTGCCGCCGTGCTCCCGTTGCCGCTTGACAGCATGTTGCACATCTTCACCTGATGCCGGTCGCTTGGAAGTGGACACCATATCTTCTCCCATGCCTTCGCTCCCTTTGGTCCCGACGAGGAACGCGGATTCTTGAATGAGCCATATCGAAGGCCTTCCCACTTGAAACGATAACGCGCCAGAAGCCCGCGCAATTTGGAAAGATCAACTCGGGTTTTGTATACTTTGACAAATTGTCCTTAGTGATATATGATTGGCTAATTGGATTTGGAATAGCCAATGAATGAGCGTTTTAGATATAGTATGTACTACCCCATAATTCTCTAGTATAGCAGGCTACTACTAGTACTTGTTTGTGGTTGTCCGAAAGCATGCAAAGCAGCTCCTTACCGGATAAAAAATACAAAGCTTCTATGGAATATGTCATTGTCCGGATAATTATCGTCAAAACTCTCGATAACCTTCCACCCATTCTCGAAGAAGCCGTCTCCAAGCATGGGACGTGAAGATCGAGGAAGCGAACGGGTGGTTCGACGCGAACGAAGTGATCGCGATCGGGAAGGAAAGGACCTGCTGGAAGGAAAGCAAATTGAGTTTTCCACGACCGACGGGTTGGATGTGGTTCCGACATTTGAGGCCATGGGGCTGAAGGAAGATTTGCTGCGCGGGATCTACGCATACGGGTTCGAAAAGCCCTCTGCCATTCAACAGCGCGCCATCCGTCCGGCAATTCAAGGGCGGGATCTCATTGCGCAATCACAGTCTGGTACGGGTAAAACGGCCGTGTTTTCGATCTCGATTCTCCAAACATTGGACTGCGCCAGCAACGAAACGCAAGCCCTCGCCCTCAGCCCCACCCGCGAATTGGCCGAACAGACCCAGAAAGTGCTGCTGGCATTAGGCGACTACATGAACGTGCAATGCCATGCTTGCATTGGTGGCAAGTCTATCGGTGAAGACATTCGTCGCCTTGATTTCGGCGTTCAGGTACTACTGTCCAACCCGAATTGACATACCATAACAACTCGATGTGTAGGTGGTCAGTGGTACGCCTGGTCGCGTATTCGACATGATCCGTCGACGGAATTTGCGCACGAGGAACATCAAGATGCTCGTCATTGATGAAGCCGATGAAATGTTGAGCAAGGGGTTCAAGGAACAGATCTACGACATCTACAGGTGTGTGGATTCATCTGATGTACACAGAGCTCTCTGGTGGCTCATGCCTTGTGTAGATATTTGCCTCCGTCCACGCAAGTACTGCTCATCAGTGCCACCCTTCCCGCCGAGGTGTTGGAAATGACCAAGAAGTTTATGAACGAGCCGGTCAAAGTGCTGGTGAAGCGCGATGAACTGACGTTGGAAGGCATCAAGCAGTTCTTTGTCGCCGTCGAGAAGGAAGAGTGGAAGTTCGACACGCTGTGCGACTTGTACGACACGCTGACGATCACGCAAGCCGTGATTTTCTGCAACACCAAGCGAAAAGTGGACTGGTTGACCGGCAAGATGCGGGAAGCCAACTTCACCGTCGCGTCCATGCATGGAGACATGCCCCAGAACGAACGCGATGCGATCATGCAAGAGTTCCGGTCGGGCGGGTCTCGCGTATTGATCACGACAGACATTTGGGGCCGCGGGTTGGATGTGCAGCAAGTGTCGCTCGTGATTTGCTACGACTTGCCCAGCAACCGCGAACTGTACATCCATCGGTGAGTGTGTACCCCCTTGGTTTTCTATCCCGCTAAGGTACATGTAGAATTGGTCGGTCGGGGCGATTTGGCCGCAAGGGGGTGGCCATCAACTTTGTAAAAGACGACGACATTCGCATCCTTCGAGACATTGAGCAATTCTACAGCACCCAAATCGACGAAATGCCCATGAACGTAGCCGATCTCATCTAAGCCCCCCTATTTCCTTGTTGGAACAAACACGGAATGACAAACATATATTTTTTTTTATATATATCATTGGTTGGTATCATTATTATATATTAAACGCACGCGGCCAAGGCGGCCATGACAGACACCCCAGTGAGGAACAGCGACAGCTTCTCCGTCGTGGACGCGCCTTGTACCGCGTCTTCTTCTGTCACTTCGTGGAATGCGAGGTAGATGAAGCTGCCAGACCCAATCCCGAGGGCGATCGCTTGGGCGAGGACGCCCGTCGGGCCTTGCAACGCGGCCGAGAGGGACATGCCCGTCACGATCCCCACCGGCGTCATAAAGCTGTACGTGACCAGCACCGCAATCGACCGCTGGGGGTTGACGCCGCTGCGGGCTTTGGCAAAGTTTGCCCCCACGGACACGGCTTCGATAAACTGCAAACGGCCAACGTTTAGAACCTCGTCGTCATGCATATAATAAGGATGATGGAAGACGTACTTTGTGGCTGACGATCGCGACGGCAGTGGCCAACGCCGTGGAGCTCATGGAGGCGTTCATGCCCAGCGTAAACCCTGCAATGAGCGAGTGCAGGGAGAACAATGCAGCCAACAAGTATGGCAGCACGACACTAGTAGTTTCATGTGTCAATAGTGTATAGATAGTGTAGTGCTGTAGGCACAACGTACCTGTCTCCAGAAAACACGATGTGTTCGCTGACGCTGCCACTCACATGCGCATGGACGTGAGGGTCCGACACGCACTGATCCCGCTTGTCCACGTCCACAGCACACTGCAACACCAAGTCGACAAACTGTTAGCATTCGAATGATGGAAAAGAGCACACACGCACCTTGTTTCCAGCCAGGAGCACATCGACTTCAGTGTACTCTTTTGTGTGCTGGATCAGGGCCGAGTCGGGGAGCATGGTGTGATCACACGAGCATGTACCGTAGTCCACGCTATTTCCTGATGGGAAGGACGTGAGGTGGTAGATCGTTCGTTTTGTCGTCACATGGCAACACGTACTGGGTTGGTCCACACCGGGCGTGACATTGTGCTGTTGGAATTGAACGTCCTGTGCGGTTGATGGGTGGAATGCATCGGACGTTGATAACGTTCGGGACCGCCTCTGGATGCCGTACGATGTGATGGGGGGTACGTGGATCCTGCAAATGCTGGTTTCATCTACGGTTCCAACGTGAGACGAAATACGAGTGCAGAGACGTGGGGAACGCACAATGGGGTTGCGCCGCGGCCGCGACTGCCATCATCTTTCCGGAATCGCCGAAGTTGAGCGAATCGACAGACCACACGAGGAAGCATCCCATGCACGCCAGGAAGTAAACCAACGGGTACGGCTCATCTGGCCCGTCAATCATTTGGTTGTACTGGTTGTAGAGTTTCACTGCGTCGGGCAGCAAATGGATCATGCCCGTGCTCAAGAACACGCCGGCCGTGAGGAACGGAAGCTTCTCTTGCATGAGCTTGTGCCAGTACGATTCCGACGACGCGGCACTCATGAACAGAGGAAGCAGCGAGAAGAATATGGTCAGCACCAGTAGCAGCACGCATATCGCCGTGTTGAACCAAAATATGTCGTCCATGGTGGTTGTCGAGTTTTCGCAGAGTCCGAAAAATATCCGACGGGAGCTGCTCGGGTTACAAATCGTTTGGAAAAACGAGCGTTTTGATTGGTTAATGTTGCCGCCGTCGGAAAACAGTTCGATGTGAAATGTATGATGTGGCTGGCAGATCGCCGCACTAGTGGGCGTCGTGCGTATCCCCTGCGCTTTTCCCGACAACATGATGGATTTTTGCATGCAAGAGGTGGGGTAGATATACGATAGGTCGATGTGCAATGGTTTGGAGGGGTTAGACAGCCGCTGTATATACAGTAGCCGGTACGGGCATGCACCTTATGTGCGACATACACTGTAGCAAATGTACACGGTAAGGCCTTTACCGTACCAAGACTAGGCAAGACGTCGGGGACAATCAAGCTGAGTGGATGGCATTTTAGGTTGACACAGGCGGTGCGGATGGCGTCGTAGCAGGCTTTCGCGTTGATCGTTGGTACATGCTTCGGTTTTTGTCCACCATTTGCATCTATAGGGAACGTGACATTCGAATCACAGGACGCACGTAGACGTACGTAGTCTCTTAAATGCACCGCAACGTTCAATCTACACAAGACAAGCACGTTTGGAATCACGACGACCTCGTGTAGCTGTGTACTACCTGTCTGGTAAATGCACAAACAAGATCATCTTCCCCATCACGAACACTTCGTCAAGATGTACGATAGCTCCCTTTGCAATAGCACGTTGCTTCGACATCAGAGTACATAGGTGGTGCCTACCTGTGGCGACGTCTGCTTGACATTGGTGAGGCGAACACTATAATCGAGAGTAGCATGATCATCAACGGTCTGCACTACAATCGGGATGCAGACGATACGTACTCCATGTTTCCTTCTCCAACCTCTTCTACGCGTCCTTCCAGTACATATTCAGTCTTTAGCTCGATCTTTACGTCCATGCCTAGCATGCTTTGCAACAGCACCACCACCGATCGATGCGCTCGCTTCATCGACGCCGCCGTGACGTGAATCTTCAAGTACTTCGTATACTAGTACTTCTTGGTAAATAAGAACTCAACAAATCATTTATATCTATTCGACATACTTCATATCTATTGTGGATTCGATACAAACAAAGTTCCAGATCGAATCTCGCCAGCGAATCGAATCACGAATCGACGCTATTGGCTACTAGTATTGGCTAATCCAATTTTGAGTGTATTTAATTGGCTCTTACAGAAAGGACAAGTATATTCAACCAATTAGAACTCCAGCATGATTGATATTGATCAGACAAACCACGCGAATTTCAAAAGTTAATAGCGAATTTACAATACTACTATTCTTAATATTTTGAATATTTCAAAATAACGGAAGCATCCGGATAATCGTAGACTTGCATTCATTGCAACTGTGCGGCGGACTGAGCGGAGGTTGCCACAACACCCATCCACCCGTCACCTCGTACACATCTGCCGCGGTCCTCTTGCGTGCGTACATGTGGTACTTCTCGGAAAGCGAGCTCAAGGAAAGCCCGTCGTTCCAGGATGGGATCTCTCAACAGACCATCGACGTTTACAGGTTCAAAGGCTGTGAATTGATTGATCGACTAGCGGCAGTCTTTCGACTGCCAAAGATGTCGGTGGCCAGTGCGAAGGTGTTCTTTCATCGGTGCGCCCACGCATGTCTCCTTGATGGAGCTGCATTGATTATGTAGGTTCTTTGTAGTCCAGTCGTTCAAGCGGCAAGACGCGTGGCTGATTGCTGCCACTTGTTTGTTCTTGGCGGCCAAAGTCGAAGAGCACTACATGAAAGCAGTTGACTTCTCCAAGCATTACCTGGCGTATCGAAGGAAACTTTGCCACGATGCGAAAAAGGTGGAAGGGGGCAGCAGGGTGTACCCATCGGAACCCGCGACTTCCCCAACGGTGGAAGCCATGACCGACGAACTGCTCTTCACCGAATGCCTTGTCCTGCACGTCCTCGCTTATGACTTGGGCGTTGTTCATCCACACGCCTACGTGAACGAGTTCGTGTCTCTGAGCATGGCGCACGTGGACGCTTCCGAGGACATGGCGGTCGAGTTGAAGCGAGCCGCATGGAGTTTTCTCAACGACAGCTCGAATACTTGCTTGTGCTTGCGCTTCGAACCTCGGGTGATCACTGCCGTGGCCGTGTATTTGGCGGGCCTTTACTTGTCGCATTGGACTCAACCGCTCACGGGCAGTGGGCCGCAGACTTGGTGGGCCAGCGTTGCGATTCCTGTCGATGTCTTGGAAGGTATGGTCATATGGTCACTCGTCCCAATTGTCCACGAGGTGGCCTTATCCAATGGATGCATCCTGTAGCTGCTGCCAAAGGGCTGTTGGACACGTATGCGACAGGGTTTGCGTACAAGCAGAAACCCCTTCCGAGCGGCATTGTCAAGTTATTCACGTTGCACGGGCAACCCAACCCGGAACAGGCCACGGACACTCGTACTAGTAGCAGTGTTTAGGTAATTTATTGTACAGAATCAACAACACCCCCATGATGCTACTGTCTGGACGGTCCTCACTTGCTCTTCTTACTTTCACCCCACGTCACATACCCACCATACTAGTACAACTATAACCTGTACAGTACATAGAACCCAAACAAGTGCATATTGTACTTTCGAGTGAAATGTCATTGTGTTGTGGTTTCTCGTTGGAATTTAAATCGATTTGATTGGCTACCTCAGATGAGCTCAAAATTATTAGCCAATCAAAACCCATTTCTCAATGAAATTCAACCAATCAGATCGATTGTGGATCGGTTTGGTCGGCGCGATTCGATTGCACCGCTCCCCAAATTTGGATCAAATCGATAATATTGTCGAATTGATAATTTGTATCAAATCGATAATATTAATAGTACTATTTTTTGTAAATAACGCGGCTAACGTTACTGTATATCAGAGCTACAGTTCGTGAAACGTTGGGGCGTTGAGTGGTTTGGGCTGGCGCTGTCGACGGCACCGCCACACAAACCCCATGGCGGAGAGCTGGTCGATGCGATGCCGCGGTAGAATGCCGCGGTATTCGCGCAATCGGTCGATCGCTCGGCCTAGTTTGTACCCGCGCGACTCTGGGGGCCACCTCGAGTCGTGGGTAGGGACGTTGAACACTTGGGGAACTTTGAGGTCGCCATACAGCGCCTTGTACGTTTCCAACGCGCGGATCTTGAGGTTCCACACAAACTCGTCCATGTTCCAGACAAACCCCATGTCCAAGAGCTGCTTGTACCGATCGGCAGGCACGACGCTGGCGTCCCGTCGAAGGCGGCTGACCACGCCACCCAGCCCCATGCCCCACATCGAGTGTGGCCACTGCATGTCGTTCTTGGGCACTTTAAACCGCGACGGAACCAGCAAATCCCCGTGAATCTTCCCATATACGATCAGCGCCTGCACCTTTTCGTCCCAATGAACTGTGTCCACGCCCTCGAACGCCACACCCAACGCCTTGAGCTCGGTGTACTCTGCCTGGCTCAGCTTGAGGGGGTTCGCTTGCAAATCGGACGCTACGAGGCCTAGGGGTAACCCCCACAACGTCGATGGCCACATGGTATCCTCTTGAGACGGAACGACGAAATCGCCAGGTATGTCGACATGACCGTGGGCTTGTTTGAACCACTTGAACGCGGCGACCTGCGACTCCATGGGCCATGCAACGTCTGTCTGATGAATGCCGACTTGTTCGAGTGCGGCGCGTGAGGCCTCGGGCAAGGAGGTCCATGATGAACGGAGCGTCTTTGTGATGACACCGAGGGGCAGGGTCCACGTGTCCTTGGGCCATTGGTCGTCCTTGTCTGGTACGACAAACAAACTCGGAACCCTTACGTGTCCGAACACGGCACGATACGCCTGAAGCGCACAGATTTCCATGTTTCGCTGGTGCTGCACAGGGTCCCACACAAAGTGAAGGGCGTTGAATTCGTCCAACGTCGTGTCGTCGATCTTGTTCGTCTTGTAGAGACACCGCAGGTTCGCGCTGAACAACGTTTCGCCCTGGAGGTGGGCAGGCCATGGGGCTTCGGTCGGGACTGTAAAGATCTTGGGGAACTGCGTGTAGTCTGATCGATCTCTTTGAATGTCTCGGGCGACCCGCGCTGCGTCGAGGAACTTGCGGCATATCGCTTCCGCCATCACGAAAGTCTCTCACATGGTGTTAGTAATACTAGTACAGAAGGAGATTAACCAATCGATGACCAGATATAATTAGTAGTACTAAATCTTGTAACGAGGTCTGGCGAGAACGGTTCTTATATCAAGTTTATACTTTCCCGCGCTGCTGTCAAAAAGCAAGGAGCGACATGGGGAGAATCCTGCGCCTCGAGGTGAACAACTTCAAGTCCTACGGAGGCAAGCAGGAGATCGGCCCATTTGCCAGGTTCACCGCCGTCGTGGGACCGAATGGGTCGGGGAAGTCCAACCTCATGGACGCGATCAGCTTCGTGCTAGGCGTGCAAAGTCGCCAGTTGCGGTCGAATCAACTGAAGGACCTGTTGCATAAGAGTGGATTGGCACCAACTATTCCCGAAGGAGGTGCTTACGTGTCCCTTATCTATGAGCTGGACGACGACGAGAAGAAACGTCTTCATGGGAAGCACTCTGGTGAATCCACATCGTCCCGCGAACTGACGTTCACTCGTTGCATCTCCGAGAAGGGCGTCGGGTCGTACCACATTAACCACCAAGACAAATCGTATGAAGAGTACGAAAGCGCGCTCAAAGATCTCGGCATTTTGGTCAAAGCGCGCAACTTTTTGGTCTTCCAAGGTACAATGGGCGTGATGGGTACACGAGCGTTGTTTCTGACGGGGTCTTAGGCGATGTCGAGTCGATTGCGTCCAAGTCGCCGGATCAACTCACGCGCATGTTTGAGCTGATTTCGTCGTCGGAAGAGCTCAAGGACGAGTACGAAAAGTGTTTGCAGGAAAAGGCCGTGGCCGAGGAAAACACGATCTTTGCGTACCAAAAGCGCAAGGGGCTGGCCGCGGAGCGAAAGATTGTCAAAGAGCAAAAGGAAGAAGCCGAACGGTTCAAGCAGCGGCGAAACGAATTGGCCAAGACCAAGCAGGAGTACTACCTGTGGCAGGTGCGCCACTTGGACGTCGACGCCAGTGCTCACAAACACGCGATCGCCCAACTCAGCGACAAGTTGGCGACGTTCCAAGCCAAACAGCAGGTGCATGCTCGAGGATGTGTCTAGGACATGTGTTGATCTGAAATACGTAGGACATTGCAGCCCTGCAAAAGGACCAAAAGAAGGCGCATGCGACGCAGTTAAAGACGTGCCGGCACCTGGATGCGTTGGCCGCGGACGTGGCGCGCGAGTTGGAGGACGTGGCCCCGCGAACGATTCAGTTGAACGAGCAGATCAAGCACGCCAAGAAGAAGCTCGACGCCGCGTCCACGAACGAGAAAGCGATGGCGCGAAACGTCGACAACCACGCGCGCGAAGTGCAGGGGCTGACGGCGGACGTCCAGGACCTCAAGCAAGCCCAAGCAGAACTCGATGCGTCCAAAGACGACCAAGAGCTCGTGCTGGAAGGGGCGCAGGTCGACGAGTTCAATCGCATCAAGAACGAAGCCAAAGTCAAGACGCTGCAACTTCGCAACACATTGGGATCGGTCCGTACTCGTATCTCTAACCATACATTCGTCGTCCAACGTTGGTGCATATGCAGCTTCAGATGCATCACAAAGCCGACACTGGCCGGTTGCAAGCGCTAGTTCGAGATGAAAAGGAACACTCGGACGAGTTGGCGCGCATGAACGAAGACCACGCGAGTGCCGTAGCCCGCCTCGTGGATGTACGTTCTACATATATTGACATATATTGTGTCTACTCAATACTATGGAATCACGCTCGAGCTGTTCTGATTGGTTGAATATATATAGACTTGAGCCAATCAAATACACTCGAAATTGGATTAGCCAATAGCAGTCGATGATTCGTGATTGGTCTGGAAATTGATGTACCCACAATATTATAATGCGCTCATCTATGTTTTAGCTGGCATGTCATTCTAATTGTGTATATTTGTGCGGTTCTACTCCAAAATTTCTCCTGCGGTTGGTTGACTGACAATGAACCACTGAACAATATCATCGTCTGAACTGCGAAATCTCATATCAAACAAAGTCTAAGAGTATCTATGTGCCAACATTCAATCGTGTTAGCCAATCATCTTGCAACCTTCATATATTATTTTTATCCAATCATACTCTTTTGCTCGATTTATGCAGGCGATTTCAACAATCCCCCAAAACATTTGGCCAATTTGACTGAAAAGCCCAATAATACTTTTGTAGATTCGACGAGTCGTTGCCAATAGTACATCTGAAATCCAAGACACGGAGGCGGAGCTGTCGAACGCAGAACAGTTTGTACGTGTTATACAAGTGTACTTTATGTGACAGAGGAGGTTTGGTATAGGAAAAGGCTTTGGCAGACAAGAAACTCGCGGTAAAAGCCGAGTTGGACCAGATCCACGTGGTAATATTGGAGACTATGAATACGATTTGGTTGTGATAACGTGTCCTCGATGTAGAAATTACGCCATGTTAAAGACGGTATGCGCCAAAGCAAAGCGGACCAGCGCAAGGCCGACACACTGGAGACGCTGACGCGGCTCTTCCCGGGGGTGCGCGGCCGATTGGTCGACTTGTGCAAGCCCATTCAGCGCAAATACAACATGGCCGTGACCGTGGCGACGGGAAAGCACATGGACGCGCTGGTCGTGTCCGACTACAAGACTGCCGGCGACTGCATTCAGGTGGGGCACCACCAACGATAGACATATTGTGTGATATTGTCTTGATGTTTCCATTTTCGATATATATTTCAATTTATATATTGTCGATTTGATACAAATTTGGGGATCGAATCGACCACCAAACCGATCCACCATCGATCTGATTGGTTGAATGTCATTGAGAAATGGGTTTTGATTGGCTAATAATGTTGAGCAGGTAGCCAATCAAATCGATTTAAATTTCAACCAGAAACCACGCCACAATGAAATTTCACTCGAAAGCACAATATATATATATATAAACTAACTTGATGTAGTACCTACGCGAACAACGTCTCGAGAGCGTCGAGTTTATCCCTCTCGACAGGATTCGCGTGACTCCGCCGAATGAACGATTTCGTCGACTCGGTGACAACATCAAGCTGGTCGTGGACGTGATCGCGTGCGATGCCGACATCCAACCCGCCGTCGCATACGCTGTGTCGGACTCGATTGTGTGCGAATCCATCGACGATGCGAGGTAGACAAACAGATACTCCAAGGCTTGAAAGGTCACATAATATTATTGTCTATAGAGATGTGTGCTTTCGCCGCAATGAAAAGGTCAAGGCAGTCACGTTGAACGGCATGGTGGTGAGCAAGAACGGCAGCATGACGGGCGGCAAGACGCACAAGGACGCTGCGCGGTCGGAACGATGGGACGAGAAGGAGACGGCCGCGTTAAAAGCCCAGCGAGAACAGTTGCACGCGGTAAACCACTCAATCTCGTTCGTGTGTTCATAGTCTGGTGAGGTAGCAACTGGCATCGCTGGACAAGGAAAGCACGGGGGTCGTGCGCAAGCAAACCCTCGAGACCAAGCTCGGGTCGTTGACGAACCGGCTGCGGTACGCGAACGCAGACATCAAGACCACCGAGAGCAAACTGCCCAAGATTCTGGCGCGGCAGACCGAGTGCCAAAAAGTGCTCCAACAGATCGCCCCGGAAATTCAAACCCTTCGCGGCGCCATCGCGGCACGGGAAAGCTCGATGGCTCGGTTGGAAGTGGAGATCAATATGGTACGTACCATGCAGATGGGTATGGTTTTCTATCATGTTCCGGTGTTCTACTCTATTTATTTACTCTGGCGGGTTTGGTTGAATATGAAAAGTCCAACATTCGCCAGAGAGTTGAAATAGTCTATAAAATATAATATTTAAGAGGTATTGTGCTTTCGAGTGAAATTTCGTGTTATGGCGTGGTTTCTCGTTGGAATTTAAATCGATTTGATTGGCTACCTCAGATGAGCTCAAAATTATTAGCCAATCAAAACCTTATTAATGAAATTCAACCAATCAGATCGATTGTGGATCGGTTTGGTCGGCGCGATTCGATTGCACCCCCTCCCCAAATTTGTATCAAATCGACAATATGTTGTGTTTGCATTTTTTTTATTTTAGCCAATCATCATGCAACGTTTTGTTCTTTGGAGCCTATCCTACTGCTATTTGGTTTGATTTATGGGCGATTTCAACAATCCCCCCAATTTGGCACATTTGGTCACATAAGAAATTACGCCATGTTAAAGACGGTATGCGCCAAAGCAAAGCGGACCAGCGCAAGGCCGACACACTGGAGACGCTGACGCGGCTCTTCCCGGGGGTGCGCGGCCGATTGGTCGACTTGTGCAAGCCCATTCAGCGCAAATACAACATGGCCGTGACCGTGGCGACGGGAAAGCACATGGACGCGCTGGTCGTGTCCGACTACAAGACTGCCGGCGACTGCATTCAGGTGGGGCACCACCAACGATAGACATATTGTGTGATATTGTCTTGATGTTTCCATTTTCGATATATATTTCAATTTATATATTGTCGATTTGATACAAATTTGGGGATCGAATCGACCACCAAACCGATCCACCATCGATCTGATTGGTTGAATGTCATTGAGAAATGGGTTTTGATTGGCTAATAATGTTGAGCAGGTAGCCAATCAAATCGATTTAAATTTCAACCAGAAACCACGCCACAATGAAATTTCACTCGAAAGCACAATATATATATATATATAAACTAACTTGATGTAGTACCTACGCGAACAACGTCTCGAGAGCGTCGAGTTTATCCCTCTCGACAGGATTCGCGTGACTCCGCCGAATGAACGATTTCGTCGACTCGGTGACAACATCAAGCTGGTCGTGGACGTGATCGCGTGCGATGCCGACATCCAACCCGCCGTCGCATACGCTGTGTCGGACTCGATTGTGTGCGAATCCATCGACGATGCGAGGTAGACAAACAGATACTCCAAGGCTTGAAAGGTCACATAATATTATTGTCTATAGAGATGTGTGCTTTCGCCGCAATGAAAAGGTCAAGGCAGTCACGTTGAACGGCATGGTGGTGAGCAAGAACGGCAGCATGACGGGCGGCAAGACGCACAAGGACGCTGCGCGGTCGGAACGATGGGACGAGAAGGAGACGGCCGCGTTAAAAGCCCAGCGAGAACAGTTGCACGCGGTAAACCACTCAATCTCGTTCGTGTGTTCATAGTCTGGTGAGGTAGCAACTGGCATCGCTGGACAAGGAAAGCACGGGGGTCGTGCGCAAGCAAACCCTCGAGACCAAGCTCGGGTCGTTGACGAACCGGCTGCGGTACGCGAACGCAGACATCAAGACCACCGAGAGCAAACTGCCCAAGATTCTGGCGCGGCAGACCGAGTGCCAAAAAGTGCTCCAACAGATCGCCCCGGAAATTCAAACCCTTCGCGGCGCCATCGCGGCACGGGAAAGCTCGATGGCTCGGTTGGAAGTGGAGATCAATATGGTACGTACCATGCAGATGGGTATGGTTTTCTATCATGTTCCGGTGTTCTACTCTATTTATTTACTCTGGCGGGTTTGGTTGAATATGAAAAGTCCAACATTCGCCAGAGAGTTGAAATAGTCTATAAAATATAATATTTAAGAGGTATTGTGCTTTCGAGTGAAATTTCGTGTTATGGCGTGGTTTCTCGTTGGAATTTAAATCGATTTGATTGGCTACCTCAGATGAGCTCAAAATTATTAGCCAATCAAAACCTTCTCAATGAATTCAACAACCAATCAGATCGATTGTGGATCGGTTTGGTCGGCGCGATTCGATTGCACCCCCTCCCCAAATTTGTATCAAATCGACAATATGTTGTGTTTGCATTTTTTTTATTTTAGCCAATCATCATGCAACGTTTTGTTCTTTGGAGCCTATCCTACTGCTATTTGGTTTGATTTATGGGCGATTTCAACAATCCCCCCAATTTGGCACATTTGGTCACATATATGTGAATTGGTAGGTGGAAGACAGCTTGTTTGAAGGGTTTAGCCACCAGTTTGGCATTGCAAGCATCCGCGAGTACGAAGAAAACGTGGTGAAGCAGCGGCAGGAGCGGTCGGATCGGCGCCAGCAGCTCGACTCGCACTTGGCCAAAGTCCAAGCTCAGGTACACACTGGCATATAGATCGTGTTGTGAATCAAAAGTAGCTGCAATATTTGCAAGCGCAAGACCTGCCAAGCGACTGGGCCAAGCTCAAAGACAATATAGCTAAGCAAAAACGTGCGTTGAAAGCGCTCGAGAAGGAGAAAACTGACCTGCAGACTCAAACCGCGGCCTTGGAAGTGACGTCGGAGCGTCACGTGGAGGCGTCCACGGCCGCCCACGACACTTTGAAACGCATTGAAGGGGAACTCAAAGCCATTTCGAAGCAGCGCGACGACCAAAGTGCCAAGGCGGCCAGTGTCCAGAAGCAGTTGGCGGTCGAAGAGACAGCCGTGGAGCGATTCAAAGACAAGAAGGGCGAAGTGCTCAAGCGCGCCACGATGGACCAAGTCAAGCTGCCCGTGGTGGGGGACGCCGTTGGCAGCGACGACGAAGATGTCGACATGTCCGGGGAGTCGATTTCGCTCACAAACCAAGCCGACACTCGGTACGCGGCGAACGAGATTGACTTTTCCAGCCTGGAACAGCTCCATTTGGACAGCGACAAGGCGCGCCAAGACCATCTGCTCAAGTACGAACAGACGATTGCGGCTATTGCTGGCGACCTCGAGCGAATGCAGCCCAACATGAAAGCCCTCGACAAATATGACGAGATCCAAGCGCGTATTTCGCACGAAGAAGAAGAACTGGAGAAGATCAAGGTGCGGTGGTTGAATATCTATTGATATTGGTAATGTGTCGAGTACAGGCCAGTGCCACGGTGGCGTGCCAACGGTTTGAAGCAGTCAAAGATGCCAGGTACAGTATATATATATATATTGTGAATTTGATATAAATTTCCAAGATTTACGTGGTTCTCTATTATTGTATATGGAATCATCTCAGGATTGGTTGAATATACTAGTCCTTTCTGAAAGAGCCAATCAGGGCCATTCAATATTTTAGTAGCCAATCGTGTCGATTCATGATACGGCGGCGACATATTCGATGCGACGTTTTGTCTGGACATTTGTACCGAATCCACAATATACATCTATATTTATCTATGTGCTTATGACTAATGTAAACATGAATATTATATAAACTTGAATATATATATATATATATACCGCTTCGGACTCATCTAAACATGACGGAGTAGATATGAACGATTCATGGAGGCATTTACCCACGTGTCCGAGTGCATTGACGACACGTACAAGAACCTGACCAAGAGCTCCAAACATCCGTTGGGGGGCACGGCGTACTTGAGTTTGGAGAATTCGGAGGTTTGATAACTTTTCTTGTATGGTAAGTAGTACTGTATAACCTATTCGTTGTAGGAGCCCTACTTGCACGGGATGAAGTACAACGCGATGCCTCCCATGAAGCGGTTTCGAGAGATGGAGCAACTTAGCGGCGGTGAAAAGACCGTGGCGGCGCTGGCGCTGCTGTTTGCCATCCACAGCTACCATCCGTCGCCGTTCTTCGTGCTGGACGAGGTGGACGCGGCGCTGGACAACGTCAACGTCAACAAGGTGTCGACGTACATCCAAAAGTGCGCGTTCCAGTGCGTGGTCATCTCGCTCAAGGACGCATTCTACGAAAAAGCCGACGCGCTGCTGGGGGTGTGCAAAGATATTTCGTCGCAACGGTCCAAAGTGCTCACGTTGGATCTCACGGCGTACGACGAGTAACACTACAAAAATACTTGCATTAATATATGACGAGACACGGATCAATAATATGTCGAACGAGCAGCGATATGGAATTAATATTCATAGGATATCGTTTAAAATACGGTGAATTTAATATGAATATACTACTACTAGTAGTATATATTTATATATATATATTTAAATGTATTAATAGTATTATTTACTGCAAGGCGGTTTCAAGGATTTTTGTGGGAAGCCAACGTTATCCGGATTAAGTATCCAAAACGTCTATTTATTTTTTCAAGTTGCGTGGAATAATCAGCCAACACCATTGTCGAGCCTCGCGCAACGACCATGCACCACATGGACGAATCATCGTCGGTACCGCAGGATACGAGTGTGTACTTGGAAGACGATGCCATGGATCTCGTCACCAAGGGGTATCTGACGCAAGAGAAGTGGCTGGAGCTTGGAAGCGGCGACCTGGCCACTGCAAAAGAAAAGATTCGCCAATACATCAACGAGCAGCTCAACGATTCGGTGCGACTTGCATTGACAAAGCAACCAACCGATCAAGTGCTGCATTCGGACATTATTGCTGCGGCTGCAGGTGGGCTTTGGGGAGCAGCTAGTGCATGGTTGAAGTCCACGCCCATATTGAATCCCCCACCTCAGGTCGCCACTCGCAATGTGATCGACGTAAGCATTATCTGCATGAGGCTTTAGTCAAACTAGTCTGAACCAATGCGCTTGTACAACATATAGCCAGCAGGACCATCAGAGCCTCGATCTTCGACGTTCCTGTGGAACACGGCCAAGGAGGCGGCGCTTAAAAGCATGGAAACAAGTCGAAAGATCCGAACCGTGGACTTCCTGCAGTTGAGCCACTACTGTGGCGACGAGTTGTCGTGTGACCACATTGTCATTGCCATCAATGGCTTCATGACGCACGGACACACTCCGACCGTGAACTGGGAAGCCATCGGCCGCAAGAAGAACGGTACATGTCTGTACAAGTCCACCCTCTCATGAGAGATGGCAGTGTCTGGCTATGTAGTGCTGTGGGAGGCTGGGAATGCAGCCGAGTGGGATGCCTTTTGCAACGAAACCAGCGTGCACCTCGAGACAGGCCAAGACGACACGATCGCCAGCCATTTCACAGGTCCAGTCGCTCCAGCATTCCCAACTCACGCTGACTGCTTTAGTGGGCAACCCGTGGAACAAGGCGCAAAACAAAGCGCATCAAGTGGGCATCGTGTTGGCCGAGCTGTTGATCTCCACGCCCGTGTTCTCCCGCAGTCGAAAGGTGACGCTGGTCGGTCACTCGTTGGGCAGCACCGTGATCCATAGCTGCTTGCAGCACTTGAATACCCACAACCGCACCTCGAACAACACCCCCCTGCATCTCCATCAAGCGGTGAATATATAATATATACTTTACGTATACAATCAGTATATGTTATATATATATATATTGACCCTGAACGCAAATGGGTACTTTTTAGGTGTTTTTTGCTGGGGCGTTCGTGCCAGACCACGACTTCGCCGCCATCACGGACGCCGTGTTTCCAGCCCTCGCCAGCAACCGCATCCTGAATGTGTTTTCGTCGCAAGATCACATTCTCATGCACTTGTTCTCGCTTGTCAACATGCACATCACGCGGCCCGCGGCTGGCTGCGCCGCCATCCGCTCGAAGCACATTCGTAACATCGATGTAACCGACTTGATTCCACCCACGCAAGCGTCCATCCTCGGCCACAGCTACGAAAAGTTTATGGACGCGATCGTAGATCGCATGGGGGCGCTCTTGGACCTCCCCGATACCATCGCGGCAAAGTAATAAATAATATACTTGGTATTATATGCAACATAAAACTCTTATTGTCGCGTTGAAATGAAATCAATAAATCATTTTTATTATTATTGCAGTCTTTGTCGAAAGTTTTTATTAACTGCTGTACGGGATATTTTACTATCATTTACTTGTAAATTCCACCAGCCTTGTTGAACATGTTGGTCATTTTGGCTTTCATCTCGTCGACTTCGGGGTGCAGTTGGGCGTCTTCCAGCACTTGCTTCAATTCGCTTCGCAATACTGCATTCTTGGGCTCGACCACCAGTGCCTCTCGAAGGAGGTCCTTCGCCAGCGCGTACTTTCCTTTTTGGCGGTACCTACAGTACGTACAGATCAAAGGTTCAGGTCCTTCCTCCATGATGGGATGATGGATCGTACGCTTGGGCTTTTCGAAGAAGAGCTTTGACATGACCTGGGGCGATGGCCAGTACTTTGTCCGCTTGCTCGATGGCTTTGTCTGGGTTGTCCAGCTTCAAATGGCACATGGCCATGTTCGAGTGCGCCGCGACTTTCAGCTGCGTGATCGCAACTCCTTCCGATTCCGATGCAGACGCATTCGCGGCCCCCTTCGCATACGACGACATGCCATCGCCGGCGACACTCAACCCATTGACGTATAGGAAGATCTTGACGTAATGTTGGTTGGCTTTCTTGAACAAGCCCGCTTTGAAATATAGGTTGCCTTGCTGCTTTAGAAGGTCGGCTTCGGCGATCTTCTCCCCCACGGTCAACGTTCCCAGGCGTGGCTTGCGGCTGAGGAGGTCCGACTCGTCGGGAGTAAAGCTGTACGCGGACATGTCGTTGACCAAAGGCAAAAGCGAGATGTGGACCAGAACGCAATTTTCAACTTCGTCCAGGGTCCCCGTAAGAGTTGATATTCATATTTGTTTCCAAGGGGAAACGCGGAAGACATTTGGGAAATGTGACCTGTAATATGAAACTGTATTAATTGTGACAGGCTTTTCACAGAACATAAACACGTTATCGAGGCACTTCAAGTTAGGGCGACATTCAAACGGGCCGCTGAACGCATGGGTGCTAAGAACAGCGTCGTCGAGGTGGTGGCGGCCAACGTCATTGTCGTTGAGCGGGAGGCGCTCTTGAAAGCACATCCCGTGGACGACGACCTTCGGCACTGGCACATATGGAGCCAGCTCGACATGTACGCTCTCTTCCGTGTCCGTCTTCCATGACCTTGTTCGATGATGCAGGCATGACGAAGCCACGGCCGTCCGACTGTCCAAGTTTATGCGCAACTTAATGGACCTCGTCGTCCCTGATGCAGCGATCCGCGACTCAGGTTTGGTACAGGTATCGTCTTGACACCATGATCATGATGTGGGTAGATACTGCCATGTCGGGGGAGCTAGACCTCTCCAGTGTGAAGCTACACGATGCCATCCACATGGACTGGCCCCTCAAGGCCTCCCAGATCGAGGAAATGATACGAGTACGCTCCAATGCTCTGCATTTCCTTGACCTGCTTGTAGGACTTCGAGCTGTCGGCAGATGCAGTGCATATCCCCCTGCCTCGAGAAAGTTACCACAAGTTACTGGTTCAATCGACCGAGTATTACGCTGCACAGCCCAACGTCATCCCTTTGCAAGTATGGCCATGCTATTCACTCAGCATGTACCTCGCGACTGCCATAGATTCCCCACGGTTGTACGTTGACGGTGGTGGGCGATTTGCACGGACAGCTACACGACTTGCTGTATATTTTCAAGACCCAGGGCCTGCCGTCGCCGACCAACTGGTACCTCTTCAATGGCGACCGTACGTACTTTAACTAAACGTCACTATTATATACTAGTATGAGTTTTCCCATGGTTTAGTTGTTACGTAGTTGTGGACAGGGGGAGCTGCAGCGTGGAGATTTGCGCCATCGTACTGGCGTACCAAAGTCTCTTTCCCGACGCCGTGCATGTCAACCGAGGCAACCACGAAGACGAGTTTATGAACAGCGTCCATAGCTTTCGTCAGGAGGTCAGTAGTTGAGCACCAATCATCCATCCATCGATTATCCACCCACACTTTGCTGCCATTTCCCCCTTGAAAGCAATAAACCTTATCGCATGCTGTAGGTACTCGTCAAGTACGACGCCGACATGTTTGACGCGTTCAACGCGCTGTTCAACGCGCTGCCCCTGGCACATGTAGTCAATCGCTCCATCTTCGTCGTGCACGGCGGTCTGTCCGATGCCCCGCTCACGCTAGCACAAGTTGTACCCTGTCGCAGCAGTTGCATCATCCTGTTGACATGACAAGCATGTATATATCTATCCTCTCTTAGATCAATACCATCCCTCGCCACGAATACCATTTGCATGTCCCGAACGACCGTCGCATGTCGGAGGAACTGCACTGGATGCAGGTACTAATACAAGTGCACCGTCATATTGCACCAGGAAGACTCAAGAATGGGATGGAGGTAGGACCTGCTGTGGTCAGACCCGCAGGTACCTCTCGGCCTTGCGACCAGCCGACGGGGCGCGGGGGTGGTGTTTGGTCCCGACGTGTGCGCCGCTTTTCTCCGACTGAATCAGCTCAAGGTACTGTGTCCACCCGTTCGTCCTTCCGCTCTTTTGAGTGCATCATCTTCCCTGGAATTCACGAGTATGCTGGGGGATTTAGATGGTAGTGCGATCGCATGAAGTGATCCGGGAAGGTTTCATGTGGACGTTCGACGTTGATGAAGTCACCGCGGACGGACGCGTGCCCGAGGTGCCGCCAAGTCACGTTCCTTTAGACATGGGCGACGTTCCAGAGAGCATGCTCCTCACGCTCTTCTCGTGCTCCAACTATTGCCATGACAGCAACAGGGTATGTGAATCAATATATAATATGCTAGCTACAAATCCTTACAAATATATATATATATTCAAAAACACACATTTATAGGGAGGCATCTTGGTACTGGATGCTGTGTTGAATTATCACATCCACACGTACAGCGTTCCGCCCAAGGTTTGCAACTATATATTTCCATTATATATATATATTGAAAGAGTATGTAGAGATCGTTGATTCGAGGACTGCCAGCGTTTCGATCTATTGAAGACCACAACCGCCACAACATCATGCAGCTGCTCCTCAGCCACAAGGTTCGTCTAGCAACCTGATTTCGGTATTGACACCGTTGTTGCTTAGTCAAAGTTGGCGCAAGCATTTGCAGCACTCGACGAGTCCAAGGCATCCGGTACCGTGGATCAACCTCCATATATATATATATATATTGTAGCTCTTTGTATCCAAGCTACAGGATGTAGACAACATGGTGACTGTGGACACGTGGGCGGCGGTGCTGCGTCAAGTGCTGGAGCTCGACTTGGACTGGAAGGAGCTGGCGCCGCGGATGGCTGCCGTGGACGCGCAAGGACGTATCAACTACGTCAAGTTTCTCGCGTCGTTTCGCGCCGTGTACGAAGGCGTAAGAAAGTGATCTGGTATCCATCCATCACGTGCGACGTAGCACCGCGAGTGGCACGGGGTGTTTGATGCGCTGTACCCGCACCGGAAGGCGCTGGAGGCGATCTTTTGCTTCTTCGACCGAGACCAGTCGGGGCAGATCTCCATGGACGAGTTCAAGCGAGGGTGTCTGCTGCTCAACGACCACCTGCCGTCGCCGGATCGGTGGAAGGACCCCATCGCGTTGTTTCGCGACATCGACATGTAGTACTACTATTAGTACTGCGACTTCTAACGCGTTCATGTACTGTACGTAGTGACGGCACGCGATCCATTAGCATCAACAAGTTCTTTGAAGCGTTTCGAATCATCGACAAGCAAAGCCACGACGTAGCTAGCGCCATAAACTGAATGATGATGCAAACAACTGTGTGTCGTGAGAGTCTTGTTATGAAGGTCGGGCGGATGGGGGAGGATGGGTCGTGTCTTGAGATAACGGGTACGCTTGGTCGTGCCACGTCAGCACGTGGTGGCCGTCGTCGTGGAAGTCGATGAACTGGCTCACTTCCACAGCCACATGCGACTTGAGCAAGCCAAACAGCGACAAGTGCTTTGTCTGAATCCAGTGGTACAGTCGGTTTGTGGCGGGCGACATGGCCACGTTCGACGGATGGAACTCGACCTCGTGGCCTGCATTCGTGACCAGGGTCCACGTCCCATCGTCACAATCAGGCTGCTTGAGTTCTGTAAAGACGACGGGGGTGTCCGCAGCTTTGATGTAGTTCATCTCGGATCCACATGGAGAAATGTACGGGTAGTCGTGGAAGAGGGACTGGGTGTTGGCATGGTGCGGGTTTGGTCGCAGCTGGCCAAAGAAGAACCTGAGAAACTTGCGGCTCTTCAGCGACGTCGCGATGTTCTTGGGCACGGTGTCCTCGAGGAACAGTTGGCCCTAGTAGGGATACGGCATAATGAAGACGATGGAATACCCTTCGGGGGGGAGGGTGGGAGTTGCAAACGTGTACCTGCAAGTCAACGTGGTAAAAGTAGTTTCGATCGTGCGCGTGCAGGTCGTAGAACTCTGGACTATTGTCGGTAGTAAGATACACGCACGTACACATGCAAGTTTACATGCCTTTTGATCTCTTTGAGTTGAAGCTGCTCTGCATAAACTGTTCCAAAAGTCCGCTGGCCAAGCAGCGCCATCCCGCGGCACCGCACGACCATGCTGGGTATCATCATCATATTGGAAAAAAATGAAGGAATAACCAATCAAAACCTCCCAAATATTCAAAAGTGCAATTTGGCAGCGAAAGGGCATGCCACGACGAGCCACGACGACTGTTGAGGGAATTCATGCATGTTTCCACTTCATTCGGGTCAAGATTGTCGATATGGACTTGTGGGCAAACCGTTCGCCTCAACACTCGGCAGATGTGGCGTCATGCGAAGATCTGAATGAGACCGAGTGCTCCTCGTCACCGAGGTATTGGTAACTTCGCGAAATGCAATTCTGAATGCGTCATCCCCTCGGCAGGCTGCCGTTGGCATCGTCAACACATACCACTTTCGTTTGTGTACAGTCATATGTATCTACGTCGTGTACTAGCCATATTTCGCGCCACAAAACGCCGGGTGTCGTGGCAATGCAGATGTAGCTGCAATCGTGCCAATCCGCTTCCAGACCAGGTTTCCATCAAAGCGATACGATGAGTGCAATCTGTGGTGGTGGTGTTATCTGACTAACTCTATGTGCGTATTGGACGAACTACTCTGGCTGACGCTCTTGGTCGGCTGCTGCTGTGTCTCGAGGTCCTCGTCCACTTTGACTTTGATGCCGTGGACAATGCAAAAGTCAAAGTACCCGCTGAGTATCCGTACGTCGATGGCTTCGACGGCATCGCCTTTGAATTTGAACTTGTGAGACACGCGGGTGTCCCAGTCGTCGCCTGGAAATGTTTTGCGTGAGAAAGCCAAGGGGTCGCCATCACGTACCTCGTGCATCGGGCGAAGAGGACATAGAAGACAAAGGCGGCGGCGGTAGTGTGACGCGAATGGGCTCGGGGTTGACGACAGATCGGCTGTGGGTGCAGTGGATCACCAGCTCCTTCACAAACACACAGGTGATCTCGACGGACGCGATGTACACAGTCTGTCGCAGCATGAGCCGCAGGACTTGCGGGTACATTCCCGAAGACATCCAGTAGGTTTTGACGCCGGAATCGATCACGGCGGTAGCGGGGAAGCGTTCGTTGTGGGAAGATGTGAGGATATCTCGGATAGCATCGTTGTCCAAGTGGATGGTGTTGGTGAAGTGTCGCCGAGCTAGTTCTGCCGTCAAGTGGGCGATGGGTACTTCGGCGTCCTATATCATGATGTCAGAAGCCGCGACGATGAGACGTCGACTATAGTACTTCAATCACGGGTTTGAGTGTCGTTCGCCGCGGACGTGCGCTGGCGGGTCGTGCGTTGTTCATTCTGGACACAGCGGGCATCAGTTCCTTCTCGTCATGACACTTCTTGCGTAATGCGATGCCTTCCTCCTCTAGTTCTTCTATCTGCTGCTCCAGGGACTTTCGCTTGGCGCTGTCGGACGTGGAAAACAGCAGCCGATTCAGCTCTGTGATCTACGCACCCCCAACGTGACTTCATGAATCGGCATGGAGGTATGGGTACGAACCTGCAGCTGAAGGGTCTGCACTTCCTTCTCCAAGCCGTCGTCGTCCATGAGGTGATTCGACAATTTGCCACCGACAGGCCGCGCACAATCAAGAGCGGATGTCTCCCAATGCTATGCTTCAACCTGAATGTCCTACAGCCGTCTTGGTGACTGTTCATTCGATGATCCGGTGAAAATCCGGATAAAAAGATTCTTTCGTGACATCCGCATACCAGGACCGGCTATTTCGAGCGAGGCACACTATTATTAATATTAGGACGTATTAGAGCATCCCCACCCCTGACGCTAAACACAAAACTCTAAAACCAGATCTAAAGTGGGATCATGCAAAATAATTTAGAGTTTTTCATCATATTTCACACCAGTTGCCAAACAGCGATTGAACTCTATTCGCATGGATGCACGACACCAAGCCGCAGAATCGCCTGGATAAAAGTAGTTCAGGGC